ACAATAACTCGGCCGGTATGAATTTTGTCAGTCCCTTTCAGCCTGAAAGGGAGTTCAAAGTGTACAATTCACTTGAATGTTCACAAATTGTACGCAGTACATACCACTAATATAATATGATCCTTGGACATATTCATTCCAATTTCTTTGTTTTATAAAGTTGTTTAATAACTTCCCTTCCCTTTCTCCAAATTTACCTTAACCCCCTCCTCCGGCCCTCCAATACGCATATCTCCACTGGAGGGATTCAGACATCTTTCCGGGGGGTTTATAAATCCGCTGGAGGTATTCAGATATCATTTCTAGGCATTCAGATATCTTTCCATGGGGTTTATAATTCCAGTGGAGGGTTTCAGACATCTTTCCAGGGGGTTTATAGATATCTCATTCCCTCCAGTGGAATTTTAAACCCCTAGAAATGATATCTGACTCCCTCCAGTGGATTTATAAAACCCCTTGGCAAGATATCTGAATTCCTCCAGTGGAATTATAAACCCCTAGGAAGGATATCTGGATCCCTCCAGTGGATTTATAACCCCCCAGGAAGGATATCTGAATCCCTCCNGGATGGGAGGGGGTAGTTATGTAAAGGGATGGGGTATTTATGTGAAGGGATGGAAGAGGTTAGTTTTGTGAAGGGATGGGAGGGGGTAGTTATGTGAAGGGATGGGAGAGGGTAGTTATGTGAAGGGATGGGAGAGGGTAGTTTTGTGAAGCGATGGGAGGGGGTAGTTATGTGAAGGGATGGGAGAGGGTAGTTATGGGGGGGATGGGAGAGGGTAGTTATATGAAGGGATGGGAGGGGTTAGTTCTTTGAAGGAAGGAGAGGGTACAGTGAAGGGAGGAAAAGGGGTGGTTTGTGTATATTTTTCAAATAGTCTAAAAATTGAAAAGTTGAGATGAGTTTTAACAACATTGGAGTCAATAGTCAAGTCACATTATCCTATCAATGAGTCAGTGGCCTGTATTAAAGAGAAACTTTGATTTTTTTAGAAAACTATTTTATTGCCAACAAGAGGGGGAAGGAGGGGAGGGGGGGGGTGCAAATACGATTAGACTCTTGCAACCTGTAAACTGTGTCCTACATTGTATTCGTATCGTGTTGAGATGGAGTGGGGGAGTGGGAGGATTTTTATATCATTAAGACGAGGAAACATATATTTCATGTGATTTAAAAAAGCAAAAAAATAGTTGCTTAGTTCTTTTTTCAGTTCCACCTTTTGTTCGATGCATATGTAATTTGGGAATTCGTTTTAGTTTTCTGTAAATTCTTCTTTGAATGACATTCTTCTGTTCCATATAATCCCTCCTTCAATTTTATAGTTTTTTTTTCATTAATAATATTTGCTTTTTAACCTAAAAAAAGTCTGAAAATCGTAGAAAACTATAATTCTTGAAAAGTACATGCTAAATAAATTCAGGAACAAAGAAATGTGAAAATTACGAATTGATGAATCGAACAAAAACTTTTGTGCACGAATGAAAAACACCGCTTTACAAAAGTTTAAACGTACCCAAACTTATCAAGTCTAAAATTGCACAGAGAACTAACAAAAGTCTAAACCAGCAGAGATCTAACAAAAGTCTAAACCAGCAGAGATCTAACAAAAGTCTAAACCTGAACAGATCTAACAAAAGTATAAACCTGCACAGATCTAACAAAAGTCTAAACCTGAACAGACCTAACAAAAGTCTAAACCTGCACAGACCTAACAAAAGTCTAAACCTGCACAGATCTAACAAAAGTCTAAACCTGCAAAGACCTAACAAAAGTCTAAACCTGCACAGATCTTACAAGAGTCTAAACCTGCACAGATCTAACAAGAGTCTAAACCTGCACAGACCTAACAAAAGTCCAAACCTGCACAGACCTAACAAAAGTTTAAACCTGAGCAGACCTAACAAAAGTCTAAACCTGCACAGACCTAACAAAAGTCTAAACCTGAACAGATCTAACAAAAGTCTAAACCTGCACAGACCTAACAAAAGTCTAAACCTGCACAGATCTAACAAAAGTATAAACCTGCACAGATCTAACAAGAGTCTAAACCTGCACAGATCTAACAAAAGTCTAAACCTGGACAGATCTGACAAAAGTCTAAAACTGGACAGATCTAACAAAAGTCTAAACCTGGACAGATCTGACAAAAGTCTAAACCTGCACAGATCTAACAAAAGTCTAAACCTGCACAGATCTAACAAGAGTCTAAACCTGCACAGATCTAACAAAAGTCTAAACCTGCACGGATCTAACAAAAGTCTAAACCTGAACAGATCTAACAAGAGTCTAAACCTGAACAGATCTAACAAAAGTCTAAACCTGAACAGACCAAACAAAAGTTTAAACCTGAACAGATCTAACAAAAGTCTAAACCTGAACAGACCAAACAAAAGTCTAAACCTGAACAGACCAAACAAAAGTCTAAACCTGAACAGACCAAACAAAAGTCTAAACCTTCACAGATCTAACAAAAGTCTAAACCTGCACAGATCTAACAAAAGTCTAAACCTGAACAGATCTAACAAAAGTCTAAACCTGCACAGATCTAACAAAAGTCTAAACCTGAACAGATCTAACAAAAGTCTAAACCTGCACAGATCTAACAAGAGTCTAAACCTGAATAGATCTAACAAAAGTCTAAACCTGCACAGACCTACTAAAAGTCTAAACCTGAACAGATCTAACACAAGTCTAAACCTGAACAGATCTAACAAAAGTCTAAACCTGAACAGACCAAACAAAAGTCTAAACCTTCACAGATCTAACAAAAGTCTAAACCAGCACAGATCTAACAAAAGTCTAAACCTGAACAGATCTAACAAAAGTCTAAACCTGAACATATCTAACAAAAGTCTAAACCTGAATAGATCTAACAAAAGTCTAAACCTGCACAGACCTACTAAAAGTCTAAACCTGAATAGATCTGACAAAAGTCTAAACCTGAACAGACCAAACAAGAGTCTAAACCTGCACAGACCTAACAAAAGTCTAAACCTGCACAGACATAACAAGAGTCTAAACCTGCACAGACCTATGAAAGTCTTAATTTGTCCGTCTAACTTTTTATCTAGATTCTATTTAGTATAGTGTCTGCAGATATTTTTAATAGTTTTAGATAGCTATAAATATACAGGGCCTCATATTCACATGCAAACATGTTGGATATTTCAACCATATCTTAATATGGAGGGGGAGAGGGTGGAGAGGGTCACCAATTAAAAATTGAATTTGCTTTCCCAAATTCTTCCTATTACAAATTATTTTTAAACCCTTTCTGTTCTTTTCAATAGCCCTTAAATAAGAGAAGCAATTATCTGAAACATTTAAGATTTTAATCTAAAGTGCAATTTGATTTTGTTTGACGTCGCAAAATTTACGTTTGATTTGAGCAAGAAACATGGATAGACCACCTACATTACCTAAAAGATGAACTTCAGCACAGGAAAATGAACAAGCTCTGTGCTAAGGTTATAATGCAAGGGAAGTTAGTTTAGAGGTGTACGCATCTTTTGTACTGTAATGCACTGTCTCTGGGCGGTAATGTAAGCACATGACGGATGTCGAAGCCTGACATGAGCCTAAAATTTAAAAGAGTATCGTTGAACGAAACTCCTGAGTTTCCTGTTTGGGGTGTATACATTTATGTAGATTTTCATTTAAGAGATTCAAAAATAATAGAGAACATGAAGAAACTAAATAAATTCATATTTCATTACAAAAATATTAAAATCCACGAAACTGCCAAACTCCATTCGTGAAACTCGGGTTACAAAACTGGGTTTCATAACGATACACTGTCTTAAGTTTTGGGCTCAGGGTGTACTGTACACTGTACTAGGGTGTACACTGTACACTGTACATGTGTGAAACTTTTTTCTATCGATTAATTAAGACAATTAAGAATTTAAGAAATGTAAATGTAAAGTCTTGAGTTTTCCATAAAGAAAGCTTTGCAGTTTTCTCCTTGACTTTGAAATTCAAAATATTTTGCATTTCCGAAGCTAAGTAGAATTTTAGAACTTACGGTTATTTAAACCCCCCCCCCCCTTATATTTTTTAAGCCATCATAATACAAGTTTTAAACAAAATCAAAACAATTTTGTCTAAATAAAATTTCAAGAAAAAGTTTTAACCCTGAAAATACCTACTAAGCTCCCACACTCCAGACACTTACCCAACCTGATGTTTTTGTATCAAGGGTCATTGACACAATGGGAGACAGACCTGACGTTGAACGCAAGCCAAATAAAACGTTAGATAAGAAAACAAGACCTTGAAAACTTTTCTTACTGTATTTTAAACGTACTAGAAATTCAAGGCGCTTTGCGCCCTTCTTTCTAGCCTTAGAGGGCGCTTCGCGCCCATCTTCTAAATTAATTGTAAACATGTTCTCTTTGTGTACATCGTAAAACTAAACAAAAATAATTCGCGGATTTTTACAAAAAATTTCGCGGATTTTCAAAATTTTAAAAAATTTAATGACGATCGAATTTTGATAGAGACAAATATTTGAAATTTTGATGATTCATAAACCTTCCCTGGGCTCCCTAGATGTCCCACAAAAAATTTGGGCCCGATCGGTTCAGCCGTTTTGACGTTTATTGGATACAAACAAACAAACAGACAAACAAACAGACAGACAAACAAGCCAAATTTATATATAGATTTACACGCACCCATCTTCTATTTTAGTTTTTAATTTTGGCTCTTTCTGTGAGCATCTGCTCTACAATATAAAAACAAAAACTAAAAATATTTCGCCGATTTAACATTTTTTTGTTACTCTTCTAAATTTTACAAAAATCAAAAATTTGTTGTGACAAAATTTTAAAACTCATTCATATAACTTCCCTGGGTTCATGTGAGGTCCCACACACATTGTAGGCCCGATCTTTTTAGCCGTTTTGACGTTTATTGCATATAAATAGACAGACAAGCAAAGTATATATGTATATATATAGATTTCATTAATTACGAAGGTTCCCATTAATCTGTAAAATTGTTTATAGGATGGGGTGCTCTGATCATGTTTATAGTTGTCCTCTTCCTCCTTGGTATAGTTGAGGGACTCCAGCTGGCTCTCGTGGAACTAAAGAGACAAAAACCTGAAACGTACAAGTAAGTTCTGGTTTCCATTTCACGCTGATAAATAGATTAAAAAAGAATACGTTTTTGTCTCCAATCTTCTCAATCAAAGTTAGACCGGAAAAAACGGTAAAGCATTTGGCTCATTATTGATCTCTTCTCGGTATTTTTTAAGGTGTTAATCGCCGATCGACTTTTGTGTTTCATAAGAAGGCAACGACATACAATCTAAAAATCTTATAACTTTTTAATTGATACAAAAGGGGCAACAGTTTTTAAAAAGTGATTTTATATGTTATCTAAATTGTGTAAAATAATTCATCAGAAAAAGAGAAATGCTGTCAATTTCCTACTTTGTTTCTGATGGATAAAGAGACAATTGTTTCTTAAGAGATGTTGTTAATGGGAACGTATTGAAAGGTAAATGCAGGGTAATTTGAAATAATGTTAACAATACCTTAATAGTATTGGACTTCTGTAAAATTTGTTTAGATTATCCCACCCTGCAGCAATTTTGTTTAGATTATCCCACATTGCAGCATTTTGTTTAAATTATCCCTCCCTGCAGCTATTTTGTTAAGATTATCCCACCCTGCAGCAATTTTGTTTAAATTATCCCACCCTTCAGCATTTTGTTTAGATTATCCCACCCTTCAGCAATTTGTTTAGATTATCCCACCCTGCAGCGTACAGACTTGGAGAGCTGGCATCAAAAGGAGATAATATAGAAAAGTTTCTTGTGGGTAGACAGGTAATACTAATAGGTAGATAGGACATATGTATAGATATATAGGTAGATAAGTAAATAATATATAGGTAGTCAGGTAAATAGATGGATAGATAGATATATTAAAGAAACAAAAATTTATTTGTATAAACACCGTATTTCATGCTTTATGCATTCAACAGTAGGTATATGGATAGGTAGGTATATGGTACACATAACATGGATAGATAGGTAGATATGTAAATAGGTATATAGATAGATAGATAGATAGATAATTAGAAAGATAGATAGATAGATAGAAAGGTAGATACATAGATAGAAAGTTAAAAGGGTATATTTAAATATGGATAGGTTGCTGGGTGCTTTCTATAACAAAAAAAGGGGGAATGGACTTGAATAACTAGACAAAAAGGTTACTTTTTCAAAGTATGTCATGTCCAGGGGGGGGGGCTGGATCTTAGCTGCCTGTCCGTGTGTATTAGCCCAAGTGTATACTTCGGACAGTTTACTGATCAAGGATATTAAGATACATACAGTACAAACATCGAATATGCAGTACGCTTTCGAAGTAAAAATGTATGGGGAGGTTTTGTATCTTGAATTTTACTCAGAACCGTTTATTATTGATGAAGTTTTGGTCTGTAAAAGACTGTAATTGCTCTTTAAAAGACTGTAATATTACGTCTTCCTGTGAAAATGTAAAAATGTATAAAGGAGTAGTGGATTTAAATAGTTAAATGGAAAAGAAATTCTCTTAACTAAATATTTTCAGAAATCACCCCTGAGTACTATAATATACAGATTTACCTTTGGAAGTGGAGTACATGGCCTGTACAATTAGTAAAGGATTAGGGTACATCATCACTCTATATACTAGAACCTCGTTGGACGTGTCATGTCTTTTGTTCCAGGTCATTGTCGTCTTCCTTGTATTCTTCGCAGCTAAGCTGACCTCAATAACTGTTCCGGGGCAAGACTTTCTGTTCCCTGTTCCTTTCTGGGCTAGTTCCATTTTCCTAGAGACTGGACTTTTAGGTGATTTGTTATCATTAGTATTATAATCATTATTATTATTATAATTATCATTATGTTTTCAGCTAGTATTGTTGTTGTTATTGTTGCTCAGTTGACCCCTCAGATAGTAGCTTCTATTTATCCAGTTCAATTCCTGGAACTTATTATCATGAGGAACATTGGCAAAGTTATTAAACAAACTTGGGAAAATATTGAAATATTTAGTAATAGTAAAATATATATATTTTTGAATAGCATAAATACAAGGTATATTGCGGGTTGAACATTTTTTTATGTTTAAATGTAAACTAAGAAGCCCAGGGTGGGGTGGGAGGGAAGGGGGTGCTTATTTTTGTTTTCTAAATTGTACAATGTTCAATGATTTAGACCTGTCTACTACGCCTGTTTGATTCTAGAATTCACAGGTTTGTAAAACAGTAATTTAAGAGTGGAATTTAAACCAACAATATATTTTTTATCAGAGCCGACGATTTAAAAAAAATAAGAAATTACGACTCAGGTCTAAGTTGTCGTTGAGCCTTACTTACAGTTTGAGCATTCTGATTCAAGCTGCATCTTATTGTCCACATAGTTGAGTTAAAAAACGGTTTAATATTCTATTTTGGCGGATTTTTATGGTAGGAATTGGTGCATTCCGAGTTTATATGAGAACAAGACTCAGCATCGAGCCTTGTTCTCTACTAAAACAAACCAAGGTCTGTTTTATTTTCATTGGGCCTATCTCCTGAGTCGAGACTAAGATCTCGCAGCTGTAAATCACGTGACACAAGCTGTCGTCAGAGTTGAGTCTAAGATGGGGTCTTAAAGCTGGGTTAAGGAATTACGACCCGAGCCGAAGCTTTTAAATCACGGGCTCAGATTAAGGGAACCGTTGAAAATCAGGCGTTGTCATCTTCGCATGGAGGGTCACTTAAAATTACGCTCACAGTCCCTTTAATACAAAAATATATATTAGGGATGACCCATGTGACCTGGTTGCTAGTCCACGTGTTGTGCTTGATGTTCGGAATGAGCAGCGGAAAAGAAGGTTTGCCTATACATGTGGATGAGGATGAGTATACTAACGCTAATGTTGAAGATGAAAACTGGAATGCAACTAACAAAAAAATTAAAGATGAAGGGACAGCATGCTGCTAATGTTTGTGTAAACTGCTAGGGCATAATGTTTGTGCATGCTTCTTAAAAAAAATATTTTTGTGCATGATGTTCAAGCTTAATGTTTCAGCCATGCTAAAGAATTATACTTTCGCATGCTGCTTGTGTAATGTTTTTGTAGCATGCTGCTAATACTACATGACCAATGTTTTTATTCTAAACTCTTAAAAGTTTAAGATATTTAACGTTGTATATTTTTAATCTTGCAATTTTCAATCTTGTTTAAATCTTGAGTTTATTTTTCGAGTTAAAACCTTGATTTCATAACTTGAATTTAGACTTATAAAACCTTTGCTTTCACCCTTGGTTTTCGACCTTGGTTTTTAACTTGGTTTTCGACTTTGAGTTTATAACTTGGATTTACCCCTTGGGGTTAGACCTTGATTTTCGACCTGGTTTTCAACTTTGGTTTCTGACCTTGGTTTTTACCCTTGGTTTTCGACCTTGGCTTTCGACCTTGGTTTTCGATCTTGGCCTTCAATCTTCTTCTGAGTTTTTCATTTAGGGTTTTCAGTTTTTAGGCTTTCTTAATGTAAAGTAGATAAAGTCTTTTTAATACAACGTTTAACAAAAATTTGGAAAAGTTATTTTAGTTTTGACTAGATTAAAAATTCTATATTTTTCAAAATGCAACTTTTAATATTTTAGATAAAATATTGGTCTGAACATTATATACTAATAGACTTGGGAATATCTTATGGAAAAACAATATTGTAAAATATCAAATTTTCTGAATTAAATTTTTTGCTTGAATAGCATTTTGCAATTAAAATTTTTTATCTTATAATATTGATTTTCCTAAAGTCAGTTATCAATTTAAAAATGAATAAATATATAAAAGTATAGTAAATGAAAAAAGATAAAGTTATTAATGTGTTTTATAAAATTTATTTAACTTATAATATGTGCATCAAATGTTTATATATTTATATATTTATATGTTGGAATATTTACAAATAAACTAATCCTAATATTCGCAATATTTTAACGCAAAAATAAATCTAGTTTAAAAATGACATAAATTAAATTATTAATAACACAAAAATTATTAATTTTAATGTTTTCTAACCATGGGTTGATAGTGTTTCCTAACAAAATTGATCGTTCTATTTTTCTAAAACTTGTCACCTTTCACTTTTCCGCTATAGGGCAAACTTAGAAGAGAAATATGTTGTTTCACAAAACAAATAACTTACTGGATGTATCTTCTTAGTTTATGTCTTTTTTGGTTTGTATTTCTGTTGGTTTGTTTGATTGAGTCCAATATAAGGTTTAAACAGCTGAGGGAAAACGACCCGAGGGCTGTTTTTTTTGCTGGTCAAAATTGAAAAAATTGGCGCTTCATTTAAAATTACTAGAAAAAGGGGAACCTTGAAAGTGAGTGTTTGCAAAAATTATCGATGGTGATCGCTACTAATCTTACTTCTATCTGTTGCGTCTATAAGGAGAAAATTGTTAAAAACGTCTAGAACGAAGCGTCCATACAAATTTAGAAAGTTGCAACATACGACCTATAATTATCGATAATTTTCCGACGCAGTCGTATAAAGTTGATACTTCATAATATTTTTTATCTGTTTTATATAAAATGAACTTAAAACGACGATTTTTTCCGCTAGGTGTCTCTGCCATCGTGGAATCATTCACAGCATCGATAGCAGCTAGAGACACTTGGCGGTTCAAGTGCATTGCATGTATATGAAACAAATAAAAAATATTATGAAATATCAACTTTATATCGATAATTATAGGTTGTGATATCTGAATGATTTTTTTTGAATTAAATTGATTTTTTACGATTTTAGTCGTATGTTGCAACTTTCTGAATTTGTATGGATGCTTCTTTCTTCACTCTTCAGTATGAGTCGTTTTTATCTGAATGATTTGTTTGGAATAAAATTTATTCTTTTACGGTCCGAGTCGAATATTACAACTTTCTGAATATGTATGGACGCTTCGTTCTTCGGTATGAGTCGTTTTTGTAAATGTTCTCCTAAATCAACAGGTTGAAATGAGATTAGTAGCGATCACCATCGATATTTTTTCGCTGTAAGTCTATACCCCTTTCATTTTTCACCGAACACTCCCTTTAAATCCCTTAATAAACCTCAAAATTGTCTGAAAGTTAATATTGTTACTTTCCAAGATTTAAGATTTAACGATTTGTTTCATGCATACTCACTGTTCTTACTACTTTAATCTTTGTGCTACATACCAGTAGCACTAATTGATATAAATCATTCGGAAATGTTTCAAAATATATTTCAAAAATTTCAAAAAAAATAAAAAAAAATAATTATGGTGAGGGATTCTATATCTAAAAGAGCTTTATTTTGGGACACCTTGTAAATATCTTTGACATTAAATAGCTACAGTAGGGATGAAAATTGTTTTTAAATACAACAAAAAGAAACAATTTAAACCTAAAATGTTTGCTTTAGTAAATTTTCCTTCTGTAGAAAAACACTAGCACTCATTTCAAAACCAAAGATCGTTTTAAAAATAACGAAACTGTTCGTTTTTTATTAACAAAATATGTATATCGTATTCGTTCCTTATTCCAAAGCAATCTGTTTCTTTTAATTTATTTTTATCATTAGCAAGACGATCGAAGACAAATTTAAAAAGTAAAAACTGCCCATCCCTAGCTAGAGAAGATAAAATATAATATATTTGATTACAATCCACATGCTTATGTAGCCGTTGCATGTTTTTCCTACATTATTTCAGACTTTCTCTCAATTTATTCTTGATAATTTTTAAACTATTACTTTCCCATTGCATTTAATAACAATATAATCACGTGGTTCTCGATTCACTACAGTACCATTTAAACCTTTTCCAGATCAAAGATGACGGGCTTATGTTTATTTCTCTTTATAAAACAATTGTTATTGTTTTGTTTTATAACTTTGTTTGGAAGCTGTTTCATATTCAAGAATAGATGTAGAAAATAGATGTGAACTTTTAAAATCTTGTAGGACTTTTAATATCCGGGTTTTCGAGAAGTATATAAAATGTCAACTATTATTACAGTTTATACTATATGCTACAGCCTACAAGCAAGCTTTTCGGAAACTTGAACACCATTTAACAGATAAACACGCAGAGTTCTCCGCCGTTGATAATCAGTCAACGGTTTAAAAGTTAAAGTCGTGAATGGGGCATTCCTTTCTTTTCATGGAGAACCACTTTAAATTACACTAACAGTACCTGTTAAACCAGAATGTTTTCTTTTTAGTTCACGTTCCAGATTTCATAATTGATACTCAACAAGGAGTCCCAAATAAAGGTATTTTAAACAATATTTTTCTGTTACTGAACAATACTACAAAATAATTAACAATATTCTATCAATATATTTGTAATAAATTTTCAATATATATACCGGCACTCATAGAAGAATATGAAGTTTAGTTTCTTCAAACTTATGTTTGGTTTGAGCTTAAAAAGTTTTCACTATTAAGTTGCAAAGATATACGAATTAGAAAATTATAATATTTAGTTTCTTTAAAGTTATATTTAGGAGTTTTAAGTTCAGACTCTGATATTCCTTCATCAACACATCTAGAGGAGGTACTTTTAATGAAACTATAAAATTTCTAAGCCTATAAAAGTATCATTATGTCAAAAACTAATAATTATTAAAATCTAAAAAAGGGTTCAATTCATGTGTAAAATCAGATTAATGATATTTAAATATCATTTGTTTAAGATAATAATGATAATGATAATGTGAATAATTAAAAAACAAACGATTAAATTATATTTCAGGTTTTAAGTGAGACTAAGAACTCCTGCTGCACTTGCAAAACTGTTTAAATCAATTAAACATGATTACAATTAAATCTGTTTCATTTTAATTTTCATTTTAATTAGTTTTTATCTTTATTAGTATGTTTCTGAATGAAAAAAGATTTATTTGTGCAAACTGTATGTATTTATGTATTTGTTAAAATATTAATAAACTTTTTAAAAAATCATTAGATTTTGAAATAAAACAACAATTAGATGTTTTTTTACAGCCATTAATATAACCGACCCAATATGATTCCTTTGACGTTAAGTTACTTAACGTCCCTATGGATGGACAATTAAGTAAAATAACAACCCGCTCTGCAAAGTTTTCGTGACAAAATTCGCGCAAAAGACGATAAAATTTTATGCAACTAATTTTTCGGGAATTAAAATTAAAATTGAGAACCCTTGAGCCCGTTCTCTCTATAGATAGTGGTCGTGAAGTTCACGTACTTAGGGGGAGGATAGTTTGGCCGCTAGATGTCTCTCGTATGAATTATCTATCAGATAAGAATTTTGTAAAGTAAAATTCCTTAACTTCACTAGTTTTATATTAACGTTTATTAACTTTAAATCATATTTTTTATTATAGTTTGGAACTTGTGGTTGAGTTAAAGCTAAGCTGTTATACAGTCTTAAATCAATATTTCTGATGCAAACTTTTGAATTCAGAAGCTTTTTGTGAAAGTAAACTTTAATTTATTTAAATTGATCCTAACCCATATAGGTCAAGATCACGAATATTCAGAATACTGATCCTCATATTCTAATAAACCAGAAGGAGAGGGTCAAATTTACGCTATATTGCTGGTACAACATTGTGGCTTTATAGCTATTGTAGTTTTGAATTTACCACAATTATGAGAGAAGCTTTATTTTATTAAAGAATTAGAAATTTTGAATATTTTTAGTCTTCTTAAAGGGAGTGATTGGCAATTTATGGTAGTTAAACTGAGATTGCAGTATTATTGAGAATTTTTTTTTGATTCAGTTGAGAACTATCAGACGTTTTTACGGTGCATATTTGCTCAGCAAGAGCGCAAATACAACCTTTATGTTAGATTCAATTATTTCTTATTTATCATTATATTGAATTTCTTATTCTTTACAACTTTGTTAGCAGATTTCTTAAAATTCTTCAAATGTTTCTTTTCAATAAAAATTCCAGAAAATATACAGAAAATGTTTGTGAACAATGATACAATATAAAAACCAAAAACTGAATAAGATTGCTTTTTTAAGATAAGAGTTAATTTTTATTTTCTCAACCTGTTCCTAAACAACTAATCAGTTTACTGTAGAATTTTGTTGCGTTTTTTGTCGTCGTTATTTATTAATTTATAAAAAACACCCAAATGGATGATTTTGAACGTCGACTTTGCTTTCAATCTCAGGAATTATACAACATTTTACCGTTTTATATGTCTCAAATGAATCCTAAAATATTTCTCGCAATACTTCATTCTCACTTTAACTACCATACATTGCCGGTCACTCCCTTTAATAACTTTTCAATTAAAGAGTTATAATGGATTAAGGAATTGAGTTTTTCCACAAACACAGGTTTTCGAATCCCTTTATCTTTACAACCCATGGTGGTAGACCTTTGATATATAAAACAATAAATCATGTTAGATAAAAAAGTTTTAAATATCGTAAGTTTAAATCATCCGGTTCCACTTACAACGCTTAATCTCGATAACCAACGTGGGCAATTTTAGATTTAAGGATGAATACTTTATCTCTGCAGGGGATGTCGCAAAGGATATAATTAACTACATATTTAGTATGGAGATCAATGCCTAAACCCGAAAGGAATTGAGTCTTTGTCACAAACTCTGATTTTCTAATTCCTATGTCTTTGCAATCCAATTTCGTAGACGTTAGATATTTCAAACTATGAATTCTGTTAGATCAAATAACCTAAGTTTGAAATATCAAGGGTTTCCACCATTAGGTTGCCAAGATATAAGGATTAGAAAATTTGAGTTTGTGGCAAAAACTCAATTCCTTTGCACTTTAAAGTTCTGAATTCAGATTTCATTTATTCAAGATTGAATGCATGAAAGTACTCAACATATTTATTGTTTGTTTTTGTTTTATTTTAAATAATTTTAGATTATTATTCCCTTGACGGAAATAATGGGTTTAGTCCCCGGGGAAAGATCTTTTCAACATCTTGTTAACAATATCATCTTATCAAGTTTTTAGATGATAGTACATTAACAAATTATTTTACAAGTTTGCACTGCAGTTAAAACTCACATTTTACAAAAAAAACAGAAAAATATTCATATTTTTCTTTAAGATGTTGCAATGGTTGAAATATTTCGATTGTCGACTAGGAAACCTTAGCGTTTCTCTTCTTTACACCGCGAACCAGAAAACTCCAGAATAGGAAGATGACTTGTACACTCAAGTTATGACTTTTAACAGTTTAATAAACATTAGACACAGGAATAGTAAAAATGTAAAATGTAAAAAAATTCATTTCACTGAATAAGTGATTTAATCAGTACAACTATTTCCTTTGAAAAAACATGAAAAAAACTTAGGTATTTATTTATTGTCGTCTTTCTATTCCACAAATTCTCACTGTAACCCTACTCCTACTCCTACTCTTACTCCTACTCCTACTCCTACCCCTACTCCTACTCCTACTCCTACTCCTACTCCTACTCCTACTCCTTACTACTTCTACCTGTGTCCTGTACACGTCATGTATAAAACCTATACCTTTAAACTACCTGCAACCTACTAGACCATGCAAATTACTAGAGGATAGTATATATCTTCATATCTATATATTTATCGTATAAGCTACTCAGTGCACACAGTATCTACAATTAAAGATGGGCATCATTTTATTTATATGTAATTCAAGGATTTTTTATATAGAAACGATCTACCAAAAAATTTGATTTTCAAAATAATTCATATAATTTATAATATTTTTTTAATTTATGATAAATAATTCAGGATTTATTTTATAATAATCTAAATTGTGCAACATTTTTCCAGTGATAGAAGATGTTATAACTCATTAGGTCAAAACGATATGAACAATTTTGGTTAAATCGTTTAGATAGAATGTTTGGATAAACCTTTGAGGTAACCGTTTAGATAAACCATTGAGAGAAACCGTTTAGATAATCCGTTTAGATAAACCATTTAGATAAACCGTTTAGATGACCGTTTAGATAAACCATTTAGATAAACCGTTTAGATAAACCATTTAGATAAACCGTTTAGATAAACCGTTTAGATAAACTGTTTAGATAAACCATTTAGATAAACCGTTTAGATAAACCATTTAGATAAACCGTTTAGATAAACCGTTTAGATAAACTGTTTAGATAAACCGTTTAGATAAACCGTTTAGATAAATCGTTTAGATAAACCGTTTAGATAAACCGTTTAGAACTGTTTAGATAAACCGTTTAGATAAACCCTCTAGATAAACCGTTTAGATAAACTGTTCAGATAAACCGTTCAGATAAATCGATGAGATAAACCGTTTGGTAAATCCTTATGTTTAAACACAAAGTATAAGTGAGTTAGTGGTTTTAAATCAAAGGCGTTTTGACACTGCAAAGTCGACCCAGTCTTGTAAATTGATGCACCTTTTCATAGCAGGCTGGGTCTATGTGTAATATCTTTTTAGGAGCAAAATTGTTGTTTAATGTAATCATTTTGAAATAAAAATCCAACTAAAAGGGAGTGTTCACGAAAACTGAAAGGGGGTATAGGCTTACGGCGATAAACATTCGCTTTTGATCGCTACTAATCTTTCCTCTCTCTGTTGCATCTATAAGGAGAAAATTGTTTTTTTTTTTAAATCTAGATATTTATTTATGTATCAAGGTTATTATGGTTTACAAGATTGTTAATATGGATTTAACACAAAACTTTCTTACGATGTTATTATGTACATACAATTATAAAACAATAAGGTCGAAATCTAATTTTTACAGATACATTTATATTTAAGTATTGATAAAGCAGCAGTTCGAGAGGAAAAACTACATTATACATTAAAGGATAGCATACTTTTATGAAATATGAGAAAATTGTTAAAAACGTCTCATACCGAAGAACGTAAATTCCTTACAAATTCAAAAAGTTGCAACATACGACTCGTAACAAAATCAATTTAATTCCAAACAAAGCATTCAGATATTACAACTTATAATCATCGTTTATTTTTCGACGCATTTGTATATAGTTAATGTTTCATAATTTACTTTCTTTTTTCCGGGAATGCGCCAGTCGTGAAAACAAGTTATAAGCGAAATATTAATTTCAAAAATCACAAAATAAAAAATATTATGTAATATCAACTTTACACAAATGCGTCGAAAATATTCGATAACTATAGGATTTAATATCTAATTATTTGTTTGATATTAATTTGATTTTTTTACGATCTAAGTCGTATGTTCCAACTTCCTCAATTTTCTCCATATAGACGCAACAGATAGAAGTAAGATTAGTAGCGATCAGAAGCTATTATTTACCGCCGTAAGCCTATAGTTATACCCCCTTTCATTTTTCGCGAACACTCTATTTTGAATAATTNACCTGTTCTCCTCTTTGAGCTGGTTGAGTGTCTGCTCCATGTTCTCCAGCTTCTTGTTCACCTCCTCCAGGTACATCTTCAACTGCTCCTGCTTGATCTCCAGATCAGATCTCGAAATTATTATTATTATTATTATTATTATTATTATGTTCAGATGGTGGAAGGTATTACTGTGTATTCTGTTAGTTATAATCTATAAATTCTGTAAAAGTTCTGATATAAATGATGGATCTCAAGATTCAGAAGAACAAAAACGAATACAATGGATCAGGTACGAAGTTTTCTTATGATATTATTATTTCTTTCTCTCCTTGCCGTGTTTTTTTTCTCTTTTAGATAGTTTCTCTTTTTTCTAATACGTCAAACATATCTCGTCTTATAGTAGAGCTATTGAAAAAACCAAAAATGTTTTGAATGTTTTAAAGCTAATACATTTTCTGTTTTCATTTTTGAACATAAAATCCATAATAGAGAAGTTACGAGGTCTAAAAGTTGTTCCAGTATTGTCGCATAAATTTGAACTTCGCCTTCTGTCTAGTTTACGGTGTTTTATTTTTACAAAAAGTCTTCTTTATTCTTATTATTTATTCTAATCTTTCAAAATTTTCTTTCTAGCTTTCCCTATTTTCTTTTCCTTGTTTTCTTCTATTACACTTTCTTTCTTTTTCGTTTTTTAATTGCGCACCATTTTAATAATTTGATCTTGTAAACTAAATTATTGTTTAGATTGTCTTGTTCTGATTTGAAGACTAAAATATTAGGTAAATAAGTTAATTAATATTATTTAACCCTATTCAGGTTCACGTCTGGTTTATCCAAAATAGTCCGGGGGGGGGGGTCCTCCAAGGGAACCATCCCCCTCTCTATTTTCTATTGTGATACAAATCTATAACATTTTATACATTTTTAGAGAGCCTTTGGGCTCTACTTTAATAATCTGCAAATACATTTAAAAAAAACTATTTCAATATCAAGTTATTAAATGTACAAGAACAAAAAGTGCGCGAATTATAATAAAGTATACATTTTTGAAAAGCCCTTTGCACGGCGAATTCGAATTTGCAAAAATATTTGCAATATTTTCAAAAACTAAATTTGTATTCAAGAAAAATTATAAATGTGCAAATTCACTTTTAAGGCACCTGTACAAAAATCTATGCAAATCTTCTTTGCAAAAATAATTAATAATTAATAAAAATAATTAATAATCTTTAATCACGGCTTTCCAAAGAGGTATAAAATGTCGAAATCCAATGACCGGAAGTAAATGTAAAATAAGGCATTCAGGCAGTATGCCTGAGGACTCAGGCAGTAGGTATTAAAGCCCTGCTTTGAGCCTAATGTGTTAGTTAAAAAAGTCAAAAAAAATGGAACAGCCTCAGAACAATACTTTTTGAGTTATCTCTGAAAAATGTCAGTGGGGATCCCTCCCCCCCTGCCGGAATAGGGTTTAAAAAAACATCGTTGATATATTATGAAAATCAAAATCATAAAAACTAATTTTTAAACTTTCAAATTCTACCTGAATGGCTTAGTGGTTTGGGAGAAATAAAAAATAGGATAACTTTGTCTAAATATGTAAAAAGGGATTTAATATGTTTATTTAATGTTATATTGTGGAAGACGATGTCTGGCCGCGTTAAACTAGTTCCACAAGATTCAACAGAATGAGATAGAACGGATACGGGGCATAAGTACTGATATCATCTCTACAGTCTACACGTGCGATATCGATATTGACTCTAGTTCTGAACCCTCTAGTAATAAGTTATAAGAAATATATATACTGGAAGTTATTTATGCGTTTTATTAGAGTCTGACTCACGTCCTCTATAATATGTTATTAAAATATGTGTACATTTGCTTTTCAAAAATAAAAGACCATTATTGGAATTTTTCTTAAAATCTTTTAATATTTCCGATTTTTATCAAGGTCGTGTTAATCAAGGATAGATTAACAACAGTATATATAAAGTATGAATCATAAGCATCCATTTGGGAAGGCAACATAATACATTAATATTTGTAAAGAAGAAAGAAGACTTTCTTAACCGGAGACATGAATGATTTTGTTCGGAATTACACTATTTTGGTTTTATTTAATAAATTAAAATCTAAATAAAGTTCTTAATATATTGTTCAATATTGTCGTCTTTTACCCTTGCTTAACGCCCTTTTTTCACGGTAATAATATAATTCCGTTTAGTCTGCCGGCGTTGCAATCTCTATAGGTTCTAACCCCTGATTGTATTAGAGGCTACCGGAAACTTGAAACAAGGTTGTGAACTTGTCAAGGCAATTATATTCATTTTTAAAAGTCATATTTGTTTTTTTTAGAAGGAGGGGGAGATGGTTGGATCCAGGAATATTTAGCTGTCAGGTTTATACTATTAAAATTGGCAAAAAAAGTTTCATAACTTTTTAAAAACAATATTATTTTTTGTTTTGTTTAGCCCATATGATCTGATGTCTCTCTTTAAGCCTCCAAGTTTAAAGGTAAATTTTTTTAGATGAAAGATCAAATATGTCCATCCACTCTGGAATCACCATTTGGTCTTTAACAATTTCTTTAAACTTACGGAGTTATCTTTAATACTTTTTCATTCAAAACACACCCGGCGACAAAAAAAGTATAAAGAGAAATAGAGAAAAAGTGAAAAATCGAAAACTACAGTGAGGACCAGCAAACTGTAGAATAGGAGAACGACTAAAGTGCATTTAATTTTGTTGCAAAGCAACTATATAAAGGAACTGCGTTTTTGCCACAAACTCAAAAAGTCTAATCCCTATATTTCTCCTATCTGAAGCTGTTAACCTTTAATATTTCAAACTATAATTATTTGATCTAACATAATTCATAATTTGAAATATCAGAGGTCTACAGCATCCGGTTCCAGAGATATAGTGATTAGAAAATAAAAGTTTGTGGCAAAAACTCAATTTCTTTACTATAGTAAGTTATTAAATCATTCATTAAAAGAATTGGATCTGTTTACACTGCACAACTGCTGTGTCTCATGTTCACCGGGTTGTTTAAAGTTAGAACTTGGTTCGACTTCCTATTCCAAAGTTTTATAGTTATCAGTGTAGTTTAGTACTATAGTGTGTACCGTACAAGCTAATATAATATGTTTCATCTATAGGTTGTACATGTAAACAAAAAGCATCACATTGCCAGCTGTGTACCGTATAAATCTGGAAGTGAATCTGCCAGATATTTGATCAGGAATTCATTTATTTATCAATTATAATATCATTTTTCGTAAGTCATTAAAAAATTCAATCTTCTTAGTATGCATCAACGACATTATCTATGTAATATTTATAAAGAATTGATTATAAAATCAATTTAAAATAATATATTTTATGTCGCTATTTGTGATTATTAATAACTCATTTTCTAATTTCTAATTTAAAACAAATCGAATCTAAAGAAAAAATGCCTTAAATAAAAATCATAAATTTGACATATATATATGTATATATATGAGCGAAGAGCTTTATTATATAGATTGATTGACGAATTGATACTAATATAATGGAATTGATTAATACCTGATTTCGTAAACCTTTGAAATATCCGGAATTATGAATTCTGCTGATCATGCATTCAGTCAAAGTTTAAATATCAAAGGTTTACACCAAAAGGCTGCTAAGATTTAGAAATTAAAGTTAGAGGTGAGTGAATAGTGATCAATTCAATAAGCTGAGTTACTAAAATTGATCAGTTGATATTTTGAGTAAATATGTCTATTTTTAATTTAACTAATTTACATGTAACTTTGATAAAATAATCTAAAAAGTTCTCTGAGCGATGGAGAACAAGAAGAAATTAAAACTATGGAAGAACTGCAAGATTTCACTAAAATTATACAGGTAGAACTTGGCACGCAAAATTGTTTTCAATTAATGGAATTGTTTACTTGTAATTATTAAATTTATTTTATGATATCTGTATGAATTTGATAATTGAAAAATAATAACTTATACATTACATAAGTGGGACTAAATATTGCACCGTGAAAAAGTGCAAAAACAATTCTTCTTGTAAAAATGTTAGTTTTTTAAAAATACCTCTTTGTTTTATTACTCTATGGACTAAACTAACTTAATATTGACACCATAGCACGGTAATTATATTTAAAGCAAAAACGTCTATACTGCAATAAGACCCAAAAAACTGTTGAATTGGATGACAATATTTGATCAATCTTATTAGATTATAATCAATGTTGTAAAGAAATTAGTTTTATCAAGTAGATTAAAAACCAACTTTCAAGTCAATGAAAAGTGCAGCTCAACTGCACATTTGCTATAATTTCATGTTTGTTGGACTAATTAAAGTCATAACTTGAGTTTAACAGTCGTCTTCCTATCCACAGTTTAATGGGTCTCACAGTATCATTGAAAATTGATTTATATATTTTTAATTCTGTATTATTAATCGTTAATACATAAAGGTGAGGGAACCCTTTGAAAGGTTATTATCTGCCTACAGGTTCACATTCGAGAAATCAGAAACTTTAGGTGCATTTTTAATCAAGTATTTAGGGTTTTAATAATTTACCTATTATAGAATACTATACAAAAGCCCCGCCTTTCCCTGTGGAAAAAAATGTTGACAAAAAATAAAAAATTATTATTTAACAAAAAAATAGGGAAAAAATTCAAATTTATATCAACCCCAGGCTACCCCATGAGCTTGTCCACACAAAATTTCAGCTCATTCAGTCCAGCTGTTTGGCCGGTAGCTGGAACATATATACAAATGTCTTGTTTTATTATATAGAAGATTAATATTATTAGCTAGCTCAAACATTTATCTGTGAAAATATAATTGAGAAGTTATTTTGGCTGTAAGAAAAACAAAATCAGCAGATTCATAGTTTGTAACAATTAAGAAGATAAGGGTACTATATATTAACAAGGGTATACTATTTTTATTTTGCGCTCTTCAATAAGCAGGATGCTTAAATTACACGCAGAGCATCTTCAAAATATTTGAAGATCAAAAGTTTAAATGTATTTTTGTCAATAAACCAAATAATTGATTTAGTCACGCCAATTTTTGAAATAAATATTTTGGCAGATTTTTGTGTGTGAAACTTTAATAATCTGGAATATTTAACCCTATTCCTGCTGGGGGGGAGGGGGTCAATTTGACCCCCCCCCCTGTAGTTTTTTTTAAATAACTCAAAAAGTGTTGGTCTGAGGCTGTTGAAATTCTCTGACTTATCCTACATACCCAAAGCCCTCCCTTTAGGCTTAAAACCGGGCTGTTCTGTTCTGATATTTTCTGATCTGTTCTGATCTGTTCTGATCTGTTCTGATCTGCTCTGATCTGTTCTGATCTGTTCTGATCTGTTCTGATCTGCTCTGATCTGTTCTGATCTGTTCTGATCTGTTCTGATCTATTCTAATCTGTTCTGATCTATTCTAATCTGTTCTGATCTGTTCTGATCTGCTCTGATCTGTTCTGATCTATTCTGATCTGTTCTGATCTGTTCTGATCTATTCTAATCTGTTCTGATCTGTTCTGATCTGCTCTGATCTGTTCTGGTCTGTTCTGATCTGTTCTGATCTATTCTAATCTGTTCAGATCTGTTCTGATCTGCTCTGATCTGTTCTGATCTGTTCTGATCTGTTCTGATCTATTCTAATCTGTTCTGGTCTGTTCTGATCTGCTCTGATCTGTTCTGATCTGTTCTGATCTGTTCTGATCTGTTCTGATCTATTCTAATCTGTTCTGATCTGTTCTGATCTGATCTGTTCTGATCTGTTCTGATCTGTTCTGATCTATTCTAATCTGTTCTGGTCTGTTCTGATCTGCTCTGATCTGTTCTGATCTGTTCTGATCCTTTCTGATCTGTTCTGATCTGTTCTAATCTCCAGTGTGTTTACGTTTTCTTATCAAAATAGTTTGTATTTACATGATTTAAAATCGTCGCAACCTTTAAATACGTTTTTTGAAACTCGTAAACTCTCCTCCTGTATTAGAAAGAAGATGGGACTCAGATACCATCATTCCAGCAGTTCATCGAGTACATAGGTAAATACATACATTTGTACCACTCCACCCAGCTGCCCGCTAGCCGACCTGAAAACCTTTAAACCCCCTGCACGCAGACTCTCGGGGATGAGTAATGGTATCGGGTGAAAGGTCTCAAAAGCAAGCTGAACAGGACACATTTAGGCTTCACAAGGGAAACAGGGACAGCTTACACTACAAAAATTCCCTTCCAGTTAAGATGATTTGATTTAATCATTACAATCAAAAAAAGATTTAACTTTTGATTAGATTCATCAATTATAACATCTAGGTGTAGGGTTCAGTAAACATGGTTTGGATACGAATTATATTCATCAATTATAACATCTAGGTGTAGGGTTCAGTAAACATGGTTTGGATAAGAATTAGATTCATCAATTATAACATCTAGGTGTAGGGTTTAGTAAACACGGTTTGGATACGAATTAGATTCATCAATTATAACATTTAGGTGTAGGGTTTAGTAAACACGGGATGGATAAGAAGTATATTCATCAATTATAACATTTAGGTGTAGGGTTTAGTAAACATGGTTTGGATACGAATTAGATTCATCAATTATAACATTTAGGTGTAGGGTTTAGTAAACACGGGATGGATACGAATTATATTCATCAATTAAAACATTTAGGTGTAGGGTTTAGTAAACACGGGATGGATAAGGATTTATACATCTCAGGAGCTCCTCTTCATTGGTAATACAAAAATCAACTAATCAAATAATCAATCAACGAATCAATTAATAAATTAATAAATTAATAATAAATTAATAACTAAATAATTAACAAATGAAAAAATCAAGTAATCAATTTATCAGGAAATTATTTAATCAATAAATGGATTAATAAATATTTCGATAAATCAAATAATTAATTAATTAAACTTTTGATGAAATTGGTCAATTAATTAAATTTTCAATCAATCAATTATTCGGTTACATAATTGAACAATTAATCAAAGTAAGTAAATTTATTAATTTGTCAGTTAACTAATCAAACAACTAATCTGTTCATCAATTAATCTTAATCATTTTATGTACCACTAGGGTCCCTCAGTACATGCAGTGTAATCCTTGCAGTACACAGTACAACCCGGAGTACTTGATTAAACTTGAATCTTGGATTCATGATACAACATTACTTCTAGGAATTATATTATTAAGGATTTAAAAAAATCATTTTGTTTAAAGATTCATAGGTGATCATGTGCTTTGTCTTTTTATTTAAAGGTTTGGCTTTGTTACCTCTACTAAATCCATGTGCTTTGTCTTTTTGTCTTTCTACGCATTTGCGTCAGGCTGAGAGGGACTGTAAGCGTAACTTTAAGTAACCCTTCTTGCTTAGAAGGAATTTCCCGATTCACAACAGCAATCTCTAAAAGCTTCGTCAGATCAAGTATGAATAAAATATCAATGTTTAATATTTAGAATTTTTTTTAAATGCAGTTTCTCTGCTTCAGAGATTTGCGTATTTCTATTGCAGGAGAACAAATAAAATTAAACACGTTTAAACCTAGAAAAAACAACAATATCTTCCCCAGTACTGATCAATTAAAGTTAGGGTTTAAGAATACTGTGGTGTGGTATTGCCTACTTTGTATGGAGGGTGACATGAAATTACGCGTCCCATTAACCCTGTCCTATGCTATTTTAGTTTATTACAGCGAGGGGGTGGGGGGAGGGGGGAGGGTTGCAAACCATTTTTAATAAGTTATGAACAAAAACAAAACCAAAGGGAGTCGAGTATCAGTGTAAATTTGAAATGGATTTAGTCTAGTTGGTCAAGGCCGGCAGTAAAAATATAGGGGCGTGAAGGGATCGACCAAATTTCGTGTAAATTTTCCTTGAATAATACTATTTCTAAGACTCGATAAATATCACGACGGACAGGTATTTTTTATTTATTTTTATTAGGAAAATCATGTTTCTCTACTTTTGAAAATGTCATAATTTCGTAAAGAACTTTTTTATTCCCAGTTTAGAATGTTGAAGTTATATTTGCGTGCATAATTATATCAAGCTCTAAACAACTTTAATCTATGTAGCTTTTTTCATACATTGTATATTATTGATTTTAAAAAGTTATAGATAGCAACAAAGCTGTGTGGATTTCTGCAAAGAAATTATTGCAGAAATTATACTTATTAATTTTTTAAGAAAAAAGTATTTTTATAAATATATTTAAATGTACATAGTATGAACATTTAAGATTACATTAGGTTACAGGAAACCAAACTATATTATGCAAAAATTTCTTGAAAAAACCCTAATCCTGGCGTTTTGCGCAGTTGACACGTTTTAAGCAAGACCAAACTAAAGTGTGGCCCAGTAATAATAACACAAATATAATTATTAAAGTTATTGATACCAAGTGGACAAAAATCATAATAAAACAACAAACACAACCTCGGTTTTTAGCAATATCTTGGTATTCAGGAACATCTTGGTGTTCATAAACATCTTGGTGTTCAGAAACATCTTGGTGTTCAGAAACATCTTGGTGTTCAGAAACATCTTGCAGAAACATCTTGGTGTTCAGAAACATCTTGGTGTTCAGAAACATCTTGGTGTTCAGAAACATCTTGGTGTTCAGAAACATCTTGGTGTTCAGAAACATCTTGGTGTTCAGGAGCATCTTGGTGTTCAGCAACATCTTGGTGTTCAGGAACATATTGGTGTTCAGGAACATCTTGGTGTTCAGCAACATCTTGGTGTTCAGGAATATCTTGGTGTTCAGCAACATCTTGGTGTTCAGAAACATCTTGGGGGCACTGTGTTTGTTTACATTCCTCCCACGCACAGTGTACAGTACATAATATGCGTATATCTGAGTTGGGCGTTCCTGTACATAGTTCCTTGAGTATATCTATGTATAATGAAGCTTTTCTCTGGACCGAATTGTCCGAATTTTTTAACACACCCATTGGTACCCTGGATGTAAAATAGACTAAACAAATTAGAAATTTCTTTTTAAACATTTTTTTTTCTTAATTCGAATCTTTTATTTTAGTTTCACGGGCAACGCCGTCCGTAATGTACGACCAAGCGCGGGTAAAGGGCAGGAGTAACTATGAGTACCCTGGGAAACCCTGGGTTCTCGAGCTAGTATTTAATATTGTTATAAATGTTTTAATATTTGTCTAGAACTTTCTACTTATTAAACTCAACACCCGGAGGCCATTCTTCAGATCTCAAGCTCCTTAAACAATATTATTCAAAGGTATGGTTAGGGATGGAAATAGTTAGAGGCCCAGTTTAAATATTTTAGAATTTAAATGTGCTCTACAAGAATCTGAGTTGTTAATTACAACGCAAAATTGTATTCTCTATAAGTTTGCTTTTATTGCAAAAAAAATGTATTTTTTAAATTCGACTGAAGATATGTTTTTTTCACTGCAGTCTAGTGAAATAAAGCTTATCGGGCAAATGCCATTAAAACACAGGAAGGACCCAATACACTCTTGAACGTAAAGACGACTGTTAGACTCAAATTTCAACTTTAATCAAATACACAAACAGATTACTTACATATCGTCTTCCTGTTTCACAGTTTTATGAGTCTTTATAGCTTTAGAAAAGTACATCTTAGATTCTTTCAAGCCTTCTAAAAATTATAAGTATATTGAATGGTTTTAAAAATAGGCCACAATCACAAAAACACTGCAATAACAGTCTATTTTGGTAAATTCGAGACTGACATCCTTACATAAAAAATTTTTAAACTACAGGGTTACCCACAAAGGAGTAGATTGTGTCATTATTCGGAATTTGTTTACTTGCATTAAGGGATTGTTGCATGACAAAACTGGTTTTTTCCTTTCCTAATAATTTAGTAAACCATCAAAATGCATATCTTCATATTTTTAGAGTTTTTAGTCGTCTTTACAGTCTCATCCTTTGTGGGTAACTCTGAATTTTAATTTGTAACGCTAAACAGGTTTATTTAAATTGTATATTTCTAGATTTCTGGTAAACAGATGGACAGAATATACTTCCATTATAAACCAAATATAATATGTATATTTCTAGATTTCTGGTAAACAGATGGACAGAATATACTTCCATTATAAACCAAATATAATATGTTTATTTCTAGATTTCTGGTAAACAGATGGACAGAATATACTTCTATTATGAACCAGATTTAATTTGTTTATTTCTAGATTTCTGGTAAACAGATGTCCAGAATATACTTCCATTATAACCCAGATTTAATTTGTTTATTTCTAGATTTCTGGTAAACAGATGGACAGAATATACTTCCATTATAGACCAGATTTTCTCCTGTTTAACTACACATATTCACAGTTTAAAGAAAAGCTCTCTACTCCTTAGTATCATTTTTAAATAAATCATGGAAATAAATATTCTTACCAAAAGAACTGAGTTTTTGTCACAAACTTAAATTGTCTAATCCCTATACGGTTAACCTTTGATATTTCAAACTTAGATTATTTGGGCTAACAGAATTCATAGTTTGAAATATCAGAGGTCTACGAAATTGGGTAGCAAAGATATAGAGATAAGAAAAGTAGAGTTTGTGGCAAAAACTCAGTTCCTTTAGAATTTTATTCAATTTTAACAGAATTATTATCTCGAATTATGGTGACTGAGTTATTTATAGCCATATTCCCACGGAACAATGCTTATAATTGTTGAGAACTTTGTATGCACATGAAATTGTGCCATTTGTATAGCATACTATATTTAAAAAATAAATATTTTAACATGAATTTTTAAATACCGCGAAATAAAAGGCCAAAGATTAAACTGGAACCGTTGTGCATCAGACATGCCACTTTATAAATGAATGGTCATCAGGGTATACGTACTTATCCAGTCCCTCACTTTTGCAATAAGTTTTTGTTAAAAAGATCGAAATTTTTTGGTTTAATTAAATCCTACATTTTGTATTATTTATAGTTTACCTTCTTTAATATTGCTAAAAATAACGTTGCGCAACTTGGGTTGAATGCGTTCAGAATCTTCAATTCGAATTCGATCGCGTTTTGGTTTATAGTTCAACCATCTTTATATTTATTGAGTTTTGGTTTATAGTTCAACCATCTTTATATTTATCGAGTTTTGGTTTATAGTTCAACCATCTTTATATTTATCGAGTTTTGGTTTATAGTTCAACCATCTTTATATTTATCGAGTTTTGGTTTATAGTTCAACCATCTTTATATTTATTGAGTTTTGGTTTATAGTTNACCCCCCCCCCCTCCCCCTCCATTCCCCGGATATACAAATCTATGGTTTCAAGGAGACATTCTTCACATTTAGTCCCCCAACGGATACATACTGAGCCCTCCACCCTGGAAAGATAACGGATGTAAGCCCCTGTTTACTACCCTGATTATTAGGGTACTATTGTGAATCGAACATATAACTCGTTTTTTACCGGAGACTCTTTTTGAATTATGTCAACAATTCATTTAAGGAAAACTTTATAAATGCATGAATTCATAATTAGACGAAATGTACTATGTATATAAAACAGATGGCGTTATTTGTTTTGCATTTTTCCAACGTCTTTGGAAAGTTTATCATTATTCATAATCGTAGTACTTTTAGAGATACTCGTCCCCCACTTCATCAGAGACCATCAGATTTTTATTGGAGGCCAAGTACATAGGCTTTTCATGATTTACTACAGAGCAAGATATTGTGCATTTAATTTTTAACATTAAGAATTCATAAATGCTATGAACGCAGTTTTTCTGAAATCTGTTCATACCTTTTTATCAATCTGTCTATATCTGTCTGTCTGTGACGGATTTGAGAGCTCCTTCCTTGATATCGTTGGAGCATGACAAGAATTCTACTACCTGTTCACAACACCTATATATATATAATTATTAAGAAATTTTTATTCCACTTTCTTCATCCCGAGCTTTAACAGTGATATATTGATTAAAATCACATAGTATAATCACTGCAAACTAGACTGAAAGAGACGGTCAAATTTATGTGATATTACATAGGTCTTTGTGACCTCGTAGCTCGTTGTGTGAGATAAATTAATTAATTAATTGATTATAGTTTATTAATTTTTAAATTGATTAAACGATTAATTCATATTGAATTACTAGCTGATTTATAATGTTTATAGTTATCCGGTTTCATAATTGAAATTATAAAAAGTGTTGTTCTCATAGATAACTAAATAAACATAGATAGCTTATGTACGCAAAATCATCAAGAATTGTCAAAGTGATTAAATACTAAAGTGGACCAAACTCATAGTTGGATGACGACATTTTATGTCCCAAGTATTTAGAAATATGTATATATATATATATATATATATATATATAAATTGGTCTGTATACGGAGTGCACAGTACAACAGAAACTGGACTCCCTTTGTTTACAAACACAGACTTAGAATTTGTATTTAACTTAAATATAAATTAACGTAAATTAAGATTTCAGAAGTGAATTTTAACCATTTTACTGCACAACAAACAATTTCAGACAGCATAATAATGCCTGAATGCATAATCTGTAAAACTATAGGAATTTACAAATTGTGATACCGAAAAATGAAGATCTTCGAAATATATCTCTTGGTCTTCACTTTTGTATTTTGACAGATGTAAGAGTGGTTAAGAACTAAGACATTCAGGTTGTCCCACGAAAAATGACATTTAATAAATCGTTATTTTTTGTCAAACAAATTGTTTGCCTCATTATCTTTTATTTCGAAATCAATTTTATTTCTAACTCCCATATAATATTTTTTTTGATCTTTGGTATCAAACAACTTAACAAAGACATTCTAAACTATTCACTAACTGTCATGTTTCGTGGGACACCCTTTAGGAAAAGATATTAAGAGAGGCGTATTCAGGTTTTTGCACAGGAAAGGCTTATATTTCTTTTTCTTTTTTAAGGGTGGGGGGCACAATTAGAAGTGCCAGGCAAAATCAATGTATTGATTAAGTGACTGTATAGTATTTACATATAAACTACATACAAACATATAAAATTTTTAAATTTTTAATTATGAAAATTTCGATGTTCTAACTGAAGACGAAATTTACACGGGTCTTTAGTCTATTTTTTCTAGTCTTTACTTTCCAAAAGAAATCTTTTCGTGCAATTATTTCCAAACCAAATAAAACCTTATGGCCCAACCTGTCGTCGTTGGCAATTAGTCTGTTCCTCTTCAGTATTTATTCACTTTGAAGAATTTTACAGTCCGCGAAATCATACTTCTAGGGGTCAAAGTGTACTTCAATGATAAGCGGGGTTGGTTTGGTGTTTTAATGGATTTCATAATAGAGTGTAAAATAACTACGGGAATGGAACTATTTGAACAACAATATTTCACTGAGAAATATATCATATTAACGTCTGACGAGAACTGAAGAAGGACATGAGAAGGACCAAGAATGTAAGGCAAGGAAAGTCAATTGCGGTTGTGTATACTCTGTGTACATATTGAAACTAGTTCTCTCTCGGCGGAATTTGTAAACAATAATAGATGCATCAGTGTTCGTTTAGTATCCGAGGAGTTAAAAGCATTAAATTTTGATAATTTTGATAATTCACACAATAATTTCCTATGACCAGAATATTTCATTGATTTTTTATGTGAATGATGGATCCCATGTCAGGCTTCGACATCCGTCTTGTGTTTACATTAGCGCCCAGAGACAGTACACTGCAGTACTAAAGATGTGTACACTTCTGAAATGACTTTCCTTGCCTTACATCCTTGAGAAGGACTACACTAACTTAAATTTCTCTCTACAGAACTCATGTACACCACAAGTACTCAATGACATAAGAACAGTCAATGTTCACAACCGACCTAGTTAATCTATATAATAGGAATATCTTTAAAACATCTCTGTACATTTATATCTTTCAAGATGAAAAATGTCGTCTTATGCGCAATCTATCTTTATCTATGGTTGTTCTTCTCAGTAAGTAGCTCTTCAATGAGAGGATTTAAGTTTGAAAACATGATAAATTTCATACGATTTTGTTAATAATGAATACGATTTTGTTAATAATGAATACGATTTTGTTAATAATGAATACGATTTTGTTAATAATGAATACGATTTTGAAATGTTTGTTCAAAACTCTGTACGTTCACTTCACTTCTCCAGTCCTCCAATATTGGATTTACTATTTGCTATATTTAATCTTATTTTAGTATATTATATACACCTGGTTTACCTCAAATAAATTTTATTTTGAAACACAAACTAGCATGTTGACACTAGTTCACCAGTTCCTGGTTTACGTTTATCTTTTCTAGAAAAATGTCTGGAAAAATGTCTGAAAAAATGTCTGGAAAAATGTTGACATTGATTCGAAAATGTCTGTATCATAATCGTGGTAGAACTTTAAAATTAACATTAATGTCTTTGATGTTAACAACATTCATTATCAGGCAGATAAATCATAAAACTACAGGTTAGTGCAAAAATTAAAAAAAAACATTTTGACTTTTTTGTCAACATTTATGTTGTGTCTGAAGTCTAACTCTAACAAAAATTAAAAAAAGCCCATGAAATTTTTCTGATAATAAACATACGGATCTAAAATATAATTTTTTAAAGCCTTTGAAAAATGGATGAATAAGTATGTGTCACATATTTGTCTAAATTAGAATGAATATATTCTATATTTATCAAAGATGCTATTTGCATTTGTACAATTCTCTTTGTCCCTAATCATCTGCAGACTGCACTTAGAGGTTTAAAATGTTCCAAAGGACTTGAGTCTTTGACACAAACTCTGATTTTCTAATCTCTATATATCTTTTCAACTAAATTTTGTTGACCTTAGATAATTCATACTGGAAATCAAATATTTTAAGGTTTACATTATCAGGAAGCGAAGATATATAGATTAGAAAATTTTAATTTGTGGCAACGACTCAATTCCTTTCTGAAAAAAGTCTTATTTGCTTTGCACCTTAAATACTTAGTTTGTCTTATCTTTGGGGGAGGGTAGGGGAGAGAGGGGGGGGGGGCATAGTTTCAGACCTTCTGAGTTTCTAAGGTTTTACATTATGTGTTCTTGTTTCTGTTTATATGAGGTTTAATGTTGTAGGTTCAGATACAGCTAACAACTACGGGATTGATTGCAATATTGTGGAAAAGTATATTAAAGTAAATATCTACAACTTCATCTACCTGAAAACGACTTGAAAACTGCTTGAAAACTACTTGAAAACTACTTGATAAATACTTATAATAAATACTTGAAAACTACTGGAAAACTACCTGAAAACTACTTGAAAACTACTTAAAAACTACCTGAAAACTACTTGAAAACTACTTTAAATTTACTTGAAAACCACTTAAAAACTGCTTAAAAACTACAGAGGGACCCATAAATCAGCGGAATAGAAAGACGACTGTTAAACTGAAAGGGACAGTAGTTTAAAGAGACCAACAATTTAAGAAGTCTCACTTATTTCCCTATGGCACCCTTAAGTTTCTATCTAACTAAGAATAATGTCACTCTAAAAATAAAAAGTCAGTTGAAAAAACATTTCCAGGTTCTTTCATCATTATAATTATAAATCAATAGTGATCCAATGAACATCAAACATTTTAATTGTGCAGTGTACAAAAACCCATTCCACTTTATGAGTGAAGCTAGAGGTAAAACTATATCTGCTTTATGATACCATCAAACACACATAAGGGTGTTTGAATGCATTCGTCTTCTTCCAAAACTGTATCGGTCCCTCTGTATTAAAAAAAGCTTTTTAGATTAAAAAAAGGTAGAAATAGCTAATATCTCGTTCAGCTGTGGTTTATTGTAAAGAAAAGCTTTAAATATTTGTAATAAAATCTTTTTTAGGAAGAGATTGATGATTTGCCCTCTTCTATTGGAAACCCTAAGGTATAAATTGAAATATTGTAAAGAAACTAAAAATATTTTTAAAAAATATTTTTAGATTGATATAATTCTGTTTTATAAAGAAGGCGATACAGGAACTTCTGATTTAGTAATTAGGCATAGGTATGTAGATAGATATGTGTTTAATGTGTATCTTGATATAGATATTGATATTTGTATTGATATTGATATTAATATTAATATTTCTATAAATATTGATTTTGACATTAAAATCGATATTTATACTGATATTGATATTGATATCTATATTTGTATTGATATTGATATTAGTGTTGATATTGATATTGATATTAATATTGATATTGATATTGATATAGATATTGATATTGATNATCCGTTCCAAATATTCCGATATAATTAAATATAAATATCAGTTCCAAATATTCAGATATAATCAAATATAAATATCAGGTTCAAATATTCCGATATAAACAAATATAAATATCAGTTTCAAATATTCCGATATAAACAAATATAAATATCAGTTCCAAATATTCCGATATAAACAAATGACAGAAAGACTATTCTTAAATCAGGATTTTTACAGATTTTGAAAACAATGATCAGGAAGGATTGTTATAAATATACTTTTTAAAGATATTTTTCCTCAGTTTAGATTTGTTTCCAGGCTTATTTTTAAAAACTAAAAAAATGTTTTTATTTGTTAATCTACAATTCAAATCCTTCAAGGCTCTAGATGTTTATGAGATGGTGTACAAAAATAAAGTCAAGGTATAAATAAAAAATGATAAAAAATAAAACATAAAGAAAAAATCTATATATTTTGTTTTAGAATGGATTCTTTATAGAAGCTGGTGCTGCAGATTGTAAAGGATCTGTTACTCTCCCTTTCGAGGATAAACTAAACTGGACAGGTGTAGACATTTTGTCTTTTTTTAATCATATCAGGTTAGGAGTAGGGTTTCCACCATAGATTATTTATTTATCTATGGTTTCCACGTAAAAGTCAATTCTCTTGCGCAACAGTTGCGTGGTTGTGCACGAAATGACTTTTTTGCACGAAATTCCGCATCATTTTCTTATCAATACGAAACCAGTTTTGCACGAAATGCGCATTCATTCGAATGAATACGAAATTTAAGTCAAATAGCTCAAAATAACAAAATAGCAGGAAATAACGAATACCATGAAAACCAAGATTTTCTTCAGAATTTGCGTGAAATTGCTTTTGCCCATCAATGCGCAAAAACATTGAAATTTCGAATTTTTACTCGAAACGTAAGCAAATCTTTGCGCAATTTTTGCACGATTTTCGTTAAAAAAAATTCGACTGGAAACCCTAGTTAGGAGGGGGTTAGGGGGACAACCCCCCAGATATTAGCAAAAAAAAGAGTAAAACCGAGGAAGGATTAATAGAATCAGAAAATTTTCGTAATTCTTCGTTTTTTTTTAAATAAAGTATCTTTCACATTTTTGATCTTTGCATGGAGATTCACTTTAAATTATGCGTACAATCCCTTTAACTTTGCTGAATTTTAAGGTCTTCTGGTGGAGGCAGTTCCAACATTTTTTAGAGGTTGCTTAAAGGTAGAATTAAAAAAAAAGCTTTTGAATGAAAAAAAAAATATTGTTATGCTTAAGGTTTTAAGGTTACTAAGATGTGCAATTATTCAAGCTATATTACCCACAGTGTTTGAAAGTTTTGAAAATATTGTCTGGCAACTCTTACCAAATAGTTTCATAAAAATTATCGGGCAACTCTGATCAATAATTTTTAGAAAAATCGTAGGGTAACATATTAAAAATTTGTAAGAAAAAATTATTTGGCATCTATGATTAATAATTTTTTAGAAAAATCGTTGGGCAACTCTGATCAATCAGTTTTAGAAAATCGTCTGAAAACTCTAATCAAATATTTTCAGAATTATCGTCGATAATTTTTTTTGGAAAAATTAGCGGGCAACTCTGATCAAATATTTTTAGAAAAATCGTCGTGCAACTCTGATCAATAATTTTTTAGAAAGATCGTCGTGCAACTCTGATCAATACCTGCTTGGGGATGAAGGATAAGCCTCACTTTATTGGTTTTGATATGTACAGGGAAATAGATTTTATTTAATCGAAGATTATTTTCCACATTGAAAAATTGTTAAGCAAAAGAAACCCTATAAAATGCATCATTTAGTTGACACAAAAATTGATTATAATAAAATCTATTTTGAGAATAGCTCGGGAGTTATAAGAGAAGTACAAGGCAAATCTATTGGGTAAATATATAAACAATTTCATAATCTGATAGTTGCTTATGAAAACATTTAGTTCTGTTTCGAGGATTTTTAATAATGAAGACGAAATTTTCATATTTTCCAGGAATGTTCGAAAATCCAGCGCCAGTGAAATATTATTTTTTAAAAATCAAAAATATTATGAAATATTAACTATATACTAATTCGACGAAAAAATAATCGATGACTATTGCAGGTTGTAATATCTAAATGATTTGTTTGAAATTAAATTGATTTTTTTACGATCCGAGTTGAATGTTGCATCTTTCCGAATTTGTATGGACGTTATGTTCTTCGATATGAGTCGTGTCGTGTTTAACAATTTTCTTCATATAGACGCAACAGATAGAAGTAAGATTAGCAGCGATCAAAAGCGTTTATTTTTCTTTGTAAGCCTTTCCCCCTTCCATTTTTCGCGAACACTTCCTGTTACGTGCATTTATTTTGTTCATATTTTGATATATGGAAGTGTCTGTACTCTGTACCTACATTTATAAAAAGAAAGGGACACGTGATTTTTAACGATATCATTTAAACAGCTGTGTCTATTCATTAGTTTTCTCACTTGAAAGTGAATGCCGAGAACTCCTCGAGTGTACACTAGAAATATAATAATTAAAATTATTAAAAATTTCGATGAAACCGTTTATTTTCTGTGATCCATGAAGAAAAGAAAAGAATATTTTCTGGGCATAAATAATCAATTAAATGGAAGCTAAGTTGAAGGGTACTATTTTGTATGGGACAATGGAGGGTCACTTAATAGAATCCATTTCCAGTTCCTTTAATAAATAAAGTTCATATGATACTAATAAGAAAAGTGTTTACAAAAATGTGTGCTTGATCTTGGTCAAATTTTTAATCTGCAGATTAATTTAACCTTCATTTTGATATCCGCAGTTACAATTGTACCTTGAAGGGATAACTGATATAAAGAGATTAAGCATTGATCTTTAAACTAAAAGTGCCCACAGAAGATAAAGAGATCAAGCGATCTCGATTATGAGTCTCCAACACAATAGTTTCAAGCTCAGGTTAAAGAGGGGGGAGAGGGGTAGGTAGAAGGGGGGGTTGAAGGAGTTGATGAGGTGGGGTGGGCGAAAAAATTGGAAAAAACTGTTAATTTTTACATATCATCAGGGCAATGCCTGGTTTTGCTGGAAAAAATCCAACCCATTTAGTCGAGGTAAATATTTAATGAGATTCTTTACTTATTTAAATTAATACATTTGTAATCCTTGATAAGTTAAAAAAAAAAGTTGATTTAAAAAAGAAGGGATATAAGAAGGGATATAAGTTTTGAAAAGGAATAAAGGACAAATTATCATGTCTGGCGAAGGATTTTTCTAATTTGTCAAATGAATATATTTACCAAAAAAATTGGAAAAAAATGTCGTCATTGTTTGTTATTTTTAGTTAAGTAACATCGCTAATCACGATATCATTAACTAATTTTGCTGATAATTTTGAACTCACCTCCAAAAAAGATGTTCAAAAATACAATTTACATGAAATAATTCATCTAAAAAAATTACATTTTGTATTTAAGATTAAATAGATAGTACTTCAAAGAGAAATTTAATATGAATACATTGTCAAATAATTTTTGTCTTCATTTGTAGGTTCAATGTTTCCCGCTATACACATTGTTAGCAGGGATGGGAAATCCAACAGTTCATCTCTTTGTACTGGATATTGAGGGATTCGAACTAGGTGTACTTAGACACATACCTTGGGATAAAGTGGATATCCAGGTATCCGAATATTAGAAACATACCTTGGGATAAAATGGGTATCCAGGTATCCCAATATTTAATTTACTTTGGGATAAAGTGGATATCCAGGTATCCAAATATTAGAAACATACCTTGGGATAAAGTGGATATCAAGGTATCCAAATATTAGAAACAAACCTTGGGATAAAGTAGCTATCCAGGTATCCAAATATTAGAAACATACCTTGGGATTAAGTGGATATCCAGGTATCCAAATATTAGAAACATACCTTGGGATAACGTGGATATCCAGGTATCCAAATATTAGAAATATACCTTGGGATAAAAGAGGATATCCAGGTATTCAAGTATTGGAATACCTTGAGATAATGTGGATACACAGGTATCTAAATATCAGAAACGTACCTTGGGATAAAGTGGATATCCAGGTATCCAAATATTAAAATACTTTGGGATAAAGTGGATATCCAGGTATCCAAATATTAGAATACCTTGAGATAAAGTGGATTCACAGGTATCCAAATATTAGAATACCTTGGGATAAAGTAGATATCCAGGTATCCAAATATTAGAAACATACCTTGGGATAAAGTGGATATCCAGGTATCCAAATATTAGAAATATACCTTGGGATAAAGTGGATACACAGGTATCCAAATATTAGAAACATACCTTGGGATAAAGTGGATATCCAGGTATCCAAATATTAGAAATATACTTTGGGATAAAGTGGATATCCAGGTATCCAAATATTAGAAACATACCTTGGGATAAAGTGGATATCCAGGTATCCAAATATTAGAAATATACTTTGGGATAAAGTGGATATCCAGGTATCCAAATATTAGAAACATACCTTGGGATAAAGTGGATATCCAGGTATCTAAATATTAGAAATATACCTGGGGATAAAGTGGATACACAGGTATCCAAATATTAGAAACATACCTTGGGATAAAGTGGATATCCAGGTATCCAAGTATTAGAAATATACCTTGGGATAAAGTGGATATCCAGGTATCCAAATATTAAAATACTTGGGGATAAAGTGGATATCCAGGTATCCAAATATTAGAAATATACCTTGGGATAAAGTGGGTATCCAGGTATCCAAATATTAGAAATATACCTTGGGATAAAGTGGATATCCAGGTATCCAAATATTAGAAACATACCTTGGGATAAAGTGGATATCCAGGTATCCAAAAATTAGAAACATACCTTGGGATAAAGTGGATACACAGGTATCCAAAAATCAGAATTCCTTGGAATAAAGTGGATATCCAGGTATCCAAATATTAGAATACCTTGGGATAAAGTGGATATCCAGGTATCCAAATATTAGAATACCTTGGAATAGAGTGGATACACAGGTATCCAAAAATCAGAATACCTTCGGATAAAATGGATATCCAGGTATCCATATATTAAAATATCTTTGAATAAAGTGGATATTTAAATTGTAATGAGGGGGACTGTGTCACTGTAAGCGTAATTTCAAGTGACCCTAAATACAAAAATGATAATGTCCGATTTACATCAGTACCTTTGAAACCGTTATCAAATCAAAAATGTGGAAGATATAAATGTCCTTTTTCTGATTCTTATAATTTATCCATTGTTTTCTTATACGCCAGAAATGCGCAAATAACTTTTTCGGCGAGAGCTCAAAAAAAATTAGGAATTTAAACAAAAAAAAACATGGATATTTAATGCATTCTTGATCAGGCAAAACTTTCATGGGTACCGTTGTGAATCGGGTATTATCATCTTTGCACAGAGGGTCAATTGAAATTATGCTTACAGTCCCTTTAAAACTGCTAAATATTTAGGTATTCAGTATAGAGACAGATTTAGCTGGACATTTTATGGACGGTATGTTTCTTTCAAAATAAGAATAAATAAAAAGTTTTTTCTAAATAATTTCTTATTCCAGGGGTTCTATACAGGGTAAAATAAACAGCTTTCAATATTTTTGAATTACTTTAGTATAACAATAATTTAAAAATGTTTACTATATCTAGGTTCAAGAGAAGAAATTATACAGATAATGGAAGGAGCAGGATATGTTAGGTTAAATACATATAATATTTTTCTTTTGATTATTATTTTTATTATTATATTTATTATTATTATTGCTTTTACTATTTATCTCCAAATCCTTTTTTATTATTATCATTATTATTGTTTTCAATATAAAAACCCNTATAGGAAGAATTAGGAAATATAGGAAGAATTAGGAAATATAGGAAGAATTAGGAAATATAGGAAGAATTAGGAAATACAGGAAGAATTAGGAAATATATGAAGAATTTGGAAATATAGAAAGATTTAGGAAATATAGGAAGAATTAGGGAATATAGGAAGAATTAGGAAATATAGGAAAAATTGGAAATCCCCAAACTAAATCAAATCTAAGGAAGGCTCGGCTAATGTGGAAATAAAGGTTTGCACAAATATGGAGATTGGAGATCATGTAAACAATTTGATATTTTAACAAAAACTTAATTCCTTTATAAAAAATGTAAACATAAAATGAACATTTCAAAAAGTTAAGAATAGAAGATATGTAATTTTTAATTGAGTTTATTTTTAGGAAAGATATTGTTAAGAAATATAACGTGGTGCAGTTGTAAACAAGAACATGACCATAACAGACTCATCCCATGCAGAGAAATTAACTATATAAATCTCGTATTTGAAATAAAGATTTTGAAAATGTTTTTTTTATTATTTGTAATTATGCTCAATGATTTTTACTTTTTATTTTTGCCAAAAAAAGACATTTGTGAATCTTAAGTCAATTCATGCTACGATTTTTCCAAAAATATAACAGCTTACAGAGTTGATAGAATATTCTGTTGAGACGTCTTTTAATAAATAATACCTATTTTAACATGTTTTAAATTAATTTTGAATTATCTATCTATTAGGTTATCCTAGTCCTTACAGAAATATCATTCGCCAAACCGAGCCATTTTTTTATTTTAAAAAAAACCTAATTTGAATATCTCTTAAATTCCAAAATAAGTCATTTTATTCATTACAATAACTTTTATCCCTTTTTTCTAATTTCTATTATTTCAAGGCAAAATATGTATTATTGTTTTTCAAGAAAAGTATTTACTATAGGTTTCTCAAATTTAGTTTTAGAAAAAATATTGTATATTTTCTCTTAGTTCACACAACTAATTAAGTAAAAAATGTCAAAAAAATTGTAAATTAATATTTTTATCTCTTTATTTCTTCACAATTGAAAATATTTGAAATGTTTATAAACATTCAGAATATTTTGTATATTTTATTTGGTTTGCTAGCTTCTAAGATTCAACCATCTGGGAATTAAGTAATTTATCTGACTTCTATTTTGATTTCATATTCTGGACATTCCATAACAAATACCATTAAAATTGATATTTGAATTAGTAAAAAGTAAGATGATTTCAACAACCAAAAATAATTCTTTTGCATTAGTTCAAAGATTAGTTAATTCTGTGTGATTTTTATATTTACACGCATTGTAAATGTATTTTTTGGACCTGAAGAATGAGTCTTCATGAGTTTATTGTCTGGATTTTATATATTTAGGGATTAGCATGTTTTAAGAGTATGTGAATTATTATGTAAATTGTCTGGGTTCATGAAATGAATATAGCCTGGGTTTATGATACAGTTATTCAACAAGAATAGCTTCAAAATATATAAAACCTAGTATCTTCAAATATTTATAAATCGTTAATTTCTAGATAACTTTGCAGTATAGCACCCCTCTTTCACTCCATTTAACTTAAACATTTCTATTTTTATCTATATGCAATAAATGCCTTACTCCAATATTTCTCTTTATGTGTGCATATCTCCACACACAAGTTATCAAACACTATCCCATCAACCGAACCCTGGCAGGTCTAAGTATGTATTTATCGACACGCAAAGCAATCAAACACTATCCTCTCCAACGAACACTGTAGGAATAAGTGGGTATCTATCCACACACAATGCTATCAAACTCTATACTCTCTACATAGCAATGGTAGTTCTGATAAGTGATTATATATCCAAGAACAAAGCTATCAAACTCTATCCTCTCTACCAAACAATGGTAGGTCTAAGTATGTATTTATCAACACATAAAGATATCAGACTCTAAACTCTCTACCGAGCAATGGTAGTTCTGTAGTTTCAATGAATAATGGTATTACATAAAGTTTGCAAACATATAGATTGTTAATGATATGCAATTCGTACTGCAGGCTTAAAGAATATCATTTTACCTGAAAGATTAGATCTGAAAGATGAGATATGAAAGATGAGATCTAAAAGATGAGATATGAAAGATGAGATCTGAAAGATGAGATCTGAAAGATGAGATCTGAAAGATGAGATCTGAAGGATTAGATCTGAAAGATGAGATCTGAAAGATGAGATCTAAAAGATGAGATCTGAAAGATGAGATCTAAAAGATTATCTGAAGGATGAAATTTGAAGGATTGGATCTGAAGGATTAGATTTGAAGGATTGGATCTGAAGGAATATATCTGAATGATTATATAGATCTGAAGGATTATATCTGAAGAATTATATCTGAAGGTTTAGATCTGAAGGATTGAATATGAAAGATTAGATCTTAAGGATGAGATCTGAAAGATTAAATATGAAAGATGAGATCTGAAGGATTAGATATGAAGGATTATATCTGAAGGATTATATCTGAAGGATTAGATCTGAAGGATTAGATTTGAAGAATTAGATCTGAAGGATTAGATCTAAAGGATTAGATCTAAAGGATTAGATCTAAAGGATTAGATTTGAAGGATTAGATCTGAAGGATTATATATGAAGGATAATATCTTAAGGATTGGATCTGAAGGATTAGATTTGAAAGATTATATCTGAAGGATTATATCTGAAGGATTATATCTGAAAGATGAGATCTGAAAGATCAGATCTGAAGGATTAGATCTACAGAATTAGATCTTAATTATTAGATCTGAAGGATAATATCTGAAAGATGAGATCTGAAGGATTAGATCTGGAGGATTAGATCTTAAGGATCGGATCTAAAGGATTAGATCTGAAGGATTAGATATTAACCCTATACTATCTGCATCTTAAATAACAAAAACTGTTGGCTTAGGCTTAGGGCCAGAGGAAGCCTTTAGGGCGGCCTTTCAAGGGGGGCCTAGAAAGGGCCCGTCTATGGGGACCTGAGGTTCTTCCCCCCCCCCATGCGCGCAAGTACGCCCCGTATTACAATACTGGAAAATCGTGAAATTAATGTAATTACGCTTTTACTTAGGCCTCTCTACCTGATAAATTGAGCGTCTGTCATGTACTACGTAGACTTAATCATAAAATTTCAGCCTTGCAATTTCAATGTTGAGGGGAAAGAATACAAGACCTCGGCAGTCTAATTGTCTCTGCTTTTCATGTATGCAGGTCTCAAAATATTTGGTAAAATTCAAAACATAATTAAAATATGTGTAAAGTAAAATAAAATTTTCCCTGATCTAAAATCTGAAAATTACCTAGCTACGTCTGGCATTTTCAGGTGCTAATCCCTATTTTCAGACTTGAAATTTAAGCTTCAGCTCAGCCAAGACAGGATTCACAGGGTAGACTACGACTATGAGAATGTTAGGACGGGGGGATATTCCGATTATATTGTCTGGTCTGGTTCTTTAGATTCATAAAACCCTGGAGTATTTCATTTAACCTCAGAGTCAACCAAGACATCAACAGTTAAACATATCTAACAATATAAAACATGAATCCTATTATTGGATTTGCATTTCTTATCCTAGTAGGATGGAAATTGTATCAAAAATGGAGGTTACCAAAGAACTTCCCTCCTGGGCCAATAAGTCTCCCTGTCCTAGGAGCCATTCATCATCTCTCCGACAACCTTCTTGAGAGTTTTCTTCATCTTAGATCTAAATATGGAAATATATTTGGATTAAGAATTGGACCAACTCCTACCGTTGTTATATCAGATTTCCACACTTGTGTTAAGGTATTTAAGGATGCAAACTTCTCCGCTAGACCCACATATCTTACTGAAGTGATGGGTAGTATTATGTCCAGACCTGAAGATGATCCAAGTCCTAACCGAGGAATAGTGTTCAGCTCTGGCAAGATCTGGGATGAACAAAGAAAGTTTATTCTCAAGAAGCTGAGTGAGTTTGGAGTTGGTAAATCCAGGTTGGAGGAAACAGTTACAGAACAGGTTGAGATGCTGGTTAAACTCCTGAGGAAAGATTCTACCAAGGGTAATGTTAAGCTTGGAGAAAGGTTCAGTGTATCCTTGGTCAACTCAATCTGGAATATTGTGACAGGATCACAATTTGATCTTGAGGATCCACTTATTCACAGTATCTACAAGGGAATTGACAGGTTCATTGATTCCCATAGACTCATTGGAGTCTTCATGGTATTCCCATGGCTTAGGCATTGTATTTCCTATCTTGGAGGAACTTTGAACAAGATGAAGAAAGATGTTAGAAACATGATGAAGAATATTGTAGATGATCATATTGATCTATCTGCTGGATATGACAAAGATCTGGTAGATTCATATATTACAAAGATGTCTGAGACAACAGATACAACGTCATCATTCTTTGGTAGAAAGGGTAGAACCAACCTAGAACAGAATATGTTGGAACTATTTGGTGCTGGAGCCAACCCTGTAGCAACCACCTTATCCTTCTGTTTCCTTTACCTGGCCAAGAATCCTAAACTTCAGGAGAAAATATTTCAAGAAATTGATGAAAATGTTGGAATTGGATCTTCCATATCAATGGAGGATGTACACAATCTACCGTATACAAATGCTTTTATCCATGAGATCATGAGAATAACAGCAATTAACTTTATTGGAACCCCGCATATGAACTTTAAGGATGCTAAGATTGGAGAATATAATGTTCCAGCTGGAACTACAGTGTTCTCCTTCCTCTGGTATATTATGAATGATCCAACATACTGGAAGAGTCCTAGAGAGTTTATTCCTGAGAGGTTTATTGAAAATGGAGAGTTTGTAAAAGATGAACGTCTTATTCCATTCCTTGTTGGACGTAGACAGTGCATTGGTATGGCATTGGCTCAAACAGAACTGTTTCTATTTTTCTCCAATCTAGTTCGAGAATTCAGATTTACAGAGAGTTCATCAGTTCCTCTACCTGCCCCCACTCCAACAATGGGATTTGTAATGGGATGTCCAGAATATGAAATCAAAATAGAAGACAGATAGAATACTTAACTCCCAGAGGGAAGAATCTCAGAAGCTAGCAAACCAAAGTGAAAATACAAAATATAATTTATTCTGAATAATACAAGATATTTTTAATTTTAAAGAAATAAATCGAGATAAAAATAATAATTTACAAGAATTTTACAGCTTGTATTTAATTAGTTAAGTAAAGTAAGATAAATAGTAGTTTCTAGAAAAAAATTAGAGAAACCAAAGTAAATACATTTACTTGGAAAACAGTAATTAATTTCTTGAAAAATGCTTTTCTCTAGCAAGTACAGAAATTAGAAATTCAAAATAAAACTTTGTAAAATATTCATATCTGATTGAACATGGATTAATAGGGAGATTTGACGAATTTTTTTCGCCTATATTAGCTACACAAAAAAAATTTTTTAAATGCTTCTGAAAACTGAAATAAATTGTCTCATTTTTATATTTTAGGACTAGTTCAAGGTGAATTTGAGCATTTTTATCAAAAAAAAAGTGCCATGTAGATTTAACCTTAATGTTAGGCCTAGGAATAGGATCCTAGGAAAATAAGATTTACACTAATTTGCCTCCAACAATATCTCTAAATGAAATCTAAAAAGGAAAACTGTTTTTTTTTATAAAAATTAGTGCTTTCAAGCATAGTCCCTCCAAAAAAATTTAAGATTTTAAAACTTAGGATTGTTGCAATTATTCTCAAAAATTTGGCTTGGCATAAATAGAAAACCTAACTATTAATAAGCATAACATAACATTTAAAAAAACAAGAATTCTGTAAAATTTTTATTTCAAAAACAAAATTTTATTTCTCTGCATGGGATCAGTCTCGTTATTTACAGCTGCACAACGTTATATTTCTTAACAATATCTTTCCTAAAAGCAACTTAATTACAAATAATCTTTTCCTTGTCACATACATATTTTGTTCAATCTATTTATAGAAATCTTACAAAGGAGTTGAGTTTTTGCCACAAACTCAAATTTTCCACATAATCCCTAAATCTTTGCAACACTTTCTTTTCTCCGCCTAAAAACCGAACTTCCTCAGATTTGATTTGGTTTGAAGATTTCTAGTTTGTTCCTCGGTTTGATAAAACAAACTTTCAAAGGTCTCTGGCATTGGGTTGCAAAGATATAGAAATTATTAGAAAAGGTTTGGGGCAACAAATCAGTTTCTTTTAATCAGCATTTCTTGTGGCCATTGTTCAGCTCTTTTGAATTAGTTTTTCAAATCCTTTTTTATCCTAATATTTATGCATGTTGTAATAAAAATAGACAATTAAAAATACTTTTTTATAATTTTTCCCGTCAGGACATTTGGAGGAAAATGTACGCTAGATTTTGGTTACCCGAGAGGTAACATAGGCTTGAAAAAAATAAACCTTGTTTTTTAAAAATCATTTTTTAATTTGAAATTTTTTCAAGTGTATTACAATTCCACGGGAATGCTGGGCAATTTAGTTATTAGTAATCAAAAGAAAAAATATCATATGTATTTAACCTAACATATCCTGCTCCTTCCATTATCTGTATAATTTCTTCTCTTGAACCTAGATATAGTAAACATTTTTAAATAATTGTTATACAAAAGTAATTCAAAGATATTGAAAGCTGTTTATTGATATTTAAACCCTGTATAGAACTCCTGGAATATAAAGGAAATATTAAATTACTTAGAAAAAACTATTTATTTTTTTTATTTTGAAAGAAACATACCGTCCATAAAATGTCCAGCTAAATCTGTCTCTATACTGAATACCTAAATATTCGGCAGTATTAAAGGGACTGTAAGCATAATTTCAATTGACACTCTGTGCAAAGATGATAATACTCGATTCACAACGGTACCCCTGAAAGTTTTACCTGATCAATTATGAATTAAATATCCATGTTTTTTTTGTTTATATCAATATTTTTTATTTGTAGTTTCGCCGAAAAAGTAATTTGCGTATTTCTTGCTTTTAAGGAACAGTGGAGAAATTATAAGAATTAAATAGACATTCAGAAAAACGATATTTAATTGTTCCATATTTTTGTTGTTTGATAACGGTTTCAAAAATACTATTGTAAATCGGGCATTGCCATTTTTGCACGAAATGTAGGGTCACTTGAAAACTCTCTTACAGTCCCTTTCATGAAATAAATTGTATAAATAATAATTTAATGCATTTGAAAATATATAACAAAGTTTTCATAAAGGAAGTTAACTAAACATGTTCACTGTAATTACAAGCATCTTATTCATTCAAATATCCAGATTCCTGGATATCCACTTTATCCAAAGGTATTATAATATTTAGATACCTGGATATCCACTTAATTCCAAGGTATATTTCTAATATTTGGATACCTGGATATCCACTTTATCCCAAGGTATGTTTCTAATATTTGGATACCTGGATATCCACTTTATCCCAAAGTATATTTCTAATATTTGGATACCTGGATATCAACTTTATCCCAAAGTATTTTAATATTTGGATACCTGGATATCCACTTTATCCCAAGGTATGTTTCTAATATTTGGATACCTGTGTATCCACTTTATCCCNGTGAACATGTTCTCTTTGTGTACATCGTAAAACAAAACAAAAATAATTCGCAGATTTTCGCAAAAAAATTCGTGGATTTTTAAAATTTTCAAAAATTTAATGAAGATCGAATTTTGATGGAGACAAATTTTTAAAATTTTGATCATTCATAAACCTGCCCTGTGGGCACGTGATGTCCCACAAAAAATTTGGGCCCGATCGGTTCAGCCGTTTTGACGTTTATTGGATACAAACAAACAGACACCCAGACAGACAAACAAACAGACAGACCAGCCAAATTTATATATAGATTGGCAATACCTTCAATTGTAAAGATTATGTATATTGTTTACCTTTACTAAATGACCTGATTGGTCTTTCCCAGCAAACCCAGGCATTGCCCTGTAAAATGCATATATTATACACATACCTATATACCTATGCGTAAATATACAGGGTGTCTCAAAAAAAAGGGGAATAAGGGTCTACAGACTCGTTTGTAATCGGATTTTCAAGATTGAAACCATTTTTAAAATCTACGCACATTTTCCGATTCAATGAGCCCAATTTTATAGGCTTCTAAAGTTTCCAACTGGAGTGAGTAAATTTGGTCAAAATTAAGATAATCTCCGTTTGCACAATTTTGTATCAGGGTCTAGACTTCCTTGTAATCGGATTTTCACGATTGAAGCCATTCTTATAGGCTCCAACACTCCAAAGCCTCATTCACTTTAAGGTCAAAATCAGTAGCCAAGGCAGTCTTGAACTCTGCTTTCTCCCAAAAGACTATTTTAAAGTTAGATCAAGGGCCCAAAAATGTCTTGGTGCAAATGGTGTGGACATTTTAAATACGATTGTAATAAATTGTAATAAATTGTAATAAATTGAATTCAAAATCGTGAAAACGGAGTTTAAATCTATTACTTTTACTAGTTCCAGTTGGAAACTTTAGAAACCTATTAAATTGTTAATTTTAAATCTACCAGCTTAAAATTAAACTCATTGAATCGGAAAATGTGCGTAGATTTTAGAAATGGTCTCAATCTTGAAAATCCGATTACAAATGAGCCTGAAGACCCTTATTCCCTGTTTTTTTAGACATCCTATATATGTATCTTATTCTCGATATCCAACGCGAGTACATGTATAATAAGATGAAGATCAATGCTTCATCCCGAGATTCACAAAACCTCTGATTTCTGGGTAAAGCGTTCATTGTACAATGAATGATAACCATAGAGAATAGAATATATATTAGAGGGGAATTTACTAGAAAAAAGTGTAAAACGGCCATTTTGTTGTACTGTTTCCATACTGCAGGTGAACTTCACATATTTATGCTATAAAACCTTTTAGGCCCTGGAAAATCATTTTATAGAAAATCTAAAATTATTGTTAAAAGAAAACCAAATTATGAAATGGGCTGGTTTCATAATTGACCAATGATCATTTCACATAGACTCTATGCCTTCCACTTTACAAACGATGATTTTCCGTTATAACTATAAATCAAATGATGTTTTTATTCACCTAATTCATTATAAAGTTTATTTAACAGTTTAAAAAATTCGAAATTGAAATGAATAGTCTAGGGAAAATACTGTATTAATGTACTCTACTGCATATAATTTGTAAACATTTACATGATTTGTACACTTTGAACTCCCTTTCAGGCTGAAAGGGACTGACAAAATTCATACCGAGAGATTCTTTAAATTCCCCTCTAATATATATTCTATTCTCTATGATGATAACGAAAAAATGCTTAAATTGGTAAAATAGTTATTAGTATATTCACCTAATTTTTCTGCCATATTTATGTTGTATAATTCCAGAGCTAATCTCAAAATAGATTTTTTTTTTTTTTTTAATGAAGAATTGATAAATTGTTGTTCTAAGGGACTGTTCAGTGTTCACCTATTGAACACTGAACTTCCCAAGTGGCAACTTCCCAAATGTGCAATTTCCCTAGCGGCAACTTTCCAAATTTTAGATTAGGCCCTATGAGGCGCCACAGGCTGCTATGGGGACCGAGCACTGCGGCTAGAATGGGCCATGGACCGAGCGCTGCGGCTAAAACAGTCTAAGGACTGCGGATAGGACATACTTTGGAAGTTGCCACTTAAAAACCACCCTTGGTGAGTTGCCGCTTGGGTAAAGCCTTTTGGAAAGTACCTAACATCTTTAAAATTAAACAATTAAATCTTCCATTTCCGAAATTATCAAAAAATAACAAACAAAACTATCTTCCCACTCAAATATGTCCGTAATTATGTCAGAAATTATGTTTTTATTTTGAAACAAAATGAAGTTTACGTTTCTCACAAAAAATAGATGTATTCGCTTCATGACATATTTTATTGAACTATATTTTCATCATATTTTAGTCCTCTGGCAATTAAGGCATGAATCGTTCCCAAGAGAAAAACACTTATATCGTCCTTGAAGTGCATTAAAATATTAAATGTGTATTTTCTATGATACATAAACAAGTCCTTTCATGTGTCTTACAGTCGTGCGGCAGTATTTTACAATTTATGTAATACATATATATTTTGTGTGGCAGTATTTTACAATTTATGTAATACATATATATTTTGTGTGGCAGTATTTTACAATTTATGTAATACATATATATTTTGTATGGCAGTATTTTACAATTTATGTACAATACATATATATTTTGTGTGGCAGTATTTTACAATTTATGTACAATACATATATATTTTGTGTGGCAGTATTTTACAATTTATGTACAATACATATATATTTTGTATGGCAGTATTTTACAATTTATGTACAATACATATATGTATTGTACATAAACCAAGGGAAGGTTTATGTATAATACATATATGTATTGTACATAAACCAAGAGAAGGTTTATGTATAATACATATATGTATTGTACATAAACCAAGGGAAGGTTTATTGCCCGGAAAAAGTGTAGATTTATAAAGTTTTTATAAATCTAAATCAGGTCTAAAAATATCAATATCAAACAAAATAAAAATAAGATAAAAACTAGAATCTATTTCCCTGTAAAAATCAAAATCAATAAAGTGAGGCTTATCCTTCATCCCCAAGCAGGTATTGATCAGAGTTGCACGACGATTTTTCTAAAAATGTTTGATCAGAGTTGTCCGACGATTTTTCTAAAAATGTTTGATAAATGTTGCCCGACGATTTTTCTGAAAATATTTGATCAGAGTTGCCCAACTATTTTTTAAAATATATTTGATCTAAGTTGATCGACGATTTTTCTAACAATATTTTATAAGAGTTGTCCAACGATCTTTCTGAAAACTGTCAATTTGAGTTGTCCGACGATTTTTCTAAAAATATTTGATTAATGTTGCCCGACGATTTTTCTGAAAACTTTCAATTAGAGTTGTTCGACGATTTTTCTTACAGTATTTGATTATTGTTGTCCGACGATTTTTCTAACAATATTTGATTAATGTTGTCCGACGATTTTTCTGAAAATATTTGAGCAGAGTTGTCCAACGATCTTTCTAAATATATTTGATCTAAGTGGATCGACGTTTTTTCTAACAATATTTGATCAGAATTGTCCAACGATTATTCTAAAAATATTTGATTAATGTTGTCCTACGATTTTTCTAAATCTATTTGATCAAAGTTGTCCGACGATTTTTCCAGAAACATTTTATTAGAGTTGCCCGTCGATTTTTCTAAAAATATTTGATAAAAGTTGCCTTTCAATTTTCTCAAAATAAACAGAATTTCCCAACAAAACAAAATTATAAAAGTTGCCTGACAAATTTTCTAAACTGAGTTGGCATCAAGTTTTGTAAAAACTGATCAAAGATGCTCGACAATCTTTAGAAAAATTGCCAGAATTGCCAGACAGTCTAATGGTTTTCATATAAATGGCCAGAATTGCCAGACAATATTATGATTTTCATAAAAATGGCCTGAATTGCCACACAGTCTAATAATGTTCGGCTTTTAAAGAATCTAACAGAGATCCGGGCAATTTAAAAAAAATCAATAATGTTACTTATAATTGAAGATTAGATTGGGAACATGTTGATTTCAAAAAATATTTTTAACATAAATGTTAGGTTTGGTTTGCAATAAATCTTTTTTATCTCAAGTTCTACCTTTATGCAACTTCTAAAAAATACTGGAACTGCCTCCACCAGAAGACCTTAAAATTCAACCAAGTTAAAGGGACTGTGAGCATAATTTCAAGTGACTCTCCATGCAAAGATAAAACATGTGGAAGATACTTCGTTTTTTAAAAAAACGAAGAATTACAACTAACGATCTGATAGATTTGTGAACTTTTTAAAAATGAAAATTTTCTGATTTTATAAACACTACCTCGGTTTCACTTTTTTTCTCTCATATCCGGGGTTGCCCCCCACCCCTGTCCCAACGGGATCAGGTTAAAAAAAAGATACAATGTTTACATATACCTGTCAAGAGCATGATTTCTACCTGTCCAAAGCATGATTTCTACCTGTCCAAAGCATGATTTCTACCTGTCCAGAGCTTGATTTCTATCTGTCCAGAGCATAATTTCTACCTGTCCAGAGCATGATTTCTACCTGTCCAGAGCTTGATTTCTACCTGTCCAGAGCATGATTTCTACCTGTCCAGAGCTTGATTTCTACCTGTCCAGAGCATGATTTCTACCGGTCCAGAGCATGATTTCTACCTGTCCAGAGCATGATTTCTACCTGTCCAGAGCATGATTTCTACCTGTCCAGAGCATGATTTCTACCTGTCCAGAGCATGATTTCTACCTGTCCAATTAAGTTTATCCTCGAATGGAAGAGTAACAGAGAGAGAACAATCTGCAGCACCAGCTTCTATGAAGAATCCGTTCTAAAACATTATATTAATTTTTTTTTCAGTTTTTAAATTAAATAATTTTTATTCATACCTTGACTTTATTTTTGTACACCATCTCATAAACATCTAGAGCCTTGAAGGGTTTGAATTGTAAATTAACCTTAAACTGGGGGGGGGGGTGGAAGGCGATTGGGCCCCCCCTGTAGTTTTTTTGGTTAACAAATAAAAATATTTTTAATCTTTCAAAAATATAAGACTGAGACCAAATTTAAAGAATTTGAGCCACGGCTTAAATTTGAGACTTGGCTCAAAACGGGCTAGGGGGGGGGTGGCGCCCCCCCTGAAGTTGTTTTTGTCATAGCCCTCTCATTTTTGGCACTATCACCGTGAAATTTTGTGACTTTTAATGAATAGTAATTTAAAGGATTTTTTGTTGAACAAATATTTTTTTTTATTTATAGGGTAGGGTACAGGACAGACGAAATATCCGGTCTGTGAACAAAAATCTAAAATAGCCAATAACATTTTTTGTGACTAAAGCTAGAGATCTAAAAACTATATTTTTGTCACACTTTGTTTAAAATCAAAAAAATATTTTTTTTCATTTCTTGACCCTTTTTCAGGCATTTTTCAAACCCTCCCTAGCACCCAAACTGTTCAAGTTATTGGTATAATTTTTTTTTCTTTGAGCTGGCAATGAAAAATTGGGCTATGAAGATGCATTTCAACCCTAAACCTATTCTCTATAAAGGCCTTTTTTAGGCTATACAGGCTATACATAGGTTCAGACCCCCCAGCTTTTATAGGGTTACAATTGTATTCAATGTTTTAAGATTTAATCCGACGCTCAATTGAAACCGGTTTTTTAACGGATTTGAGACGTGGCTGAAATTAATTAAATTTTGATAAACAAATCTAAACTGAGGAAAAATATCTTTAAAAAGTATATATATTATAATCCTTCCTGATAATTGTTTTCAAAATCTGTAATAGTCCTGATTTAAGAATAATTTGACTCCTTCAATATTTCTTTAAACAAGAATATTTTCTTCTTATATTTATATGTGTCCATATACCGCAATATTTCCTACTGATATTAATATTAAAAGTTAAAACAAGCAAAGAGCAAACTCAACCAAACTTGGGGATAAAATACAGATAGTCACTTCTGGATATATATTTTTTTTATACCGGAATATTTCCTACTGCATAAATATTTGTTAATATCTAAATATCTGAAACTGATATTAATATTTGTTTATATCGGAATATTTGGAACTGATATTTATATTTGTTTATATCGGAATATTTGAAACTGATATTTATATCTTTTATATCTGAATATTTGAAACTGATATTTATATTTTTTATATCGGAATATTTGAAACTGATATTTATATTTGTTTATATCGGAATATTTGGACCTGATATTTATATTTGATTATATCTGAATATTTGGAACTGATATTTATATTTAATTATATCGGAATATTTGGAACGGATATTTATATTTGTTTATATCGGAATATTTGGAACGGATATTTATATTTGTTTTATCTGAATATTTGGAACTGATATTTATATTTGTTTATATCGGAATATTTGGAACTGATATTTATATTTGTTTATATCGGAATATTTGGAACCGATATTCATATTTGATAAATCTGAATTCCTGATTCAAGAATATATTCTTCAGATCTATTAATTGGAGCTGAGGATGGAGGTATGAAAAAGCTCTCTTGAAGTTCTTCTAAAAATTACAAATTATCAAAATTAATTAAGGAGAGTGAACGACGAAAAAACCTTATTTTAGGTGAGATCGTAACAGTACAGAATATATTTGTAATACGAGAATAAATTTAATATTAGTAATAAGTTCTTTGTTTGATGCATAAGCTTACAATATTACAAGCTTACAATACGATGAAAAATCCTTTTACTGATATTAAAGGAATCCTAATATTTAGTTCTGTTTCACCAAATTTGCCGATTATCTTTAAATGTGTCAAATAAAAATTTGATTCACTGTTTTGATTTTGCAAGTAATGTAATTTTTGAGAAAAAAAATTTTAAAAAGTATACTTACTAATCATCATATCATTATCAGCCACCAAGCAGTTGTACAGAGGTCTAAATTTGCATCAAGATTAATACCAAGATCAAGATCAAGATCAATGACAATATCATGATCAAGATCAAGACCAATGTCAATATCATGATCAAGATCAAGACCAACGTCAATATCATGATTAAGACCAATGTCAATATCATGATTAAGACCAATGTCAATATCCGGATCAAGATCAAGATCAATGTCAAAGTCTTGAACACAAAATAAGAATATCCATTGTGTCAACATTATGTCCCATGAATTGCAATCTTCAGGCTGCTGTTAACAACATCTTTAAACATTATTTATTTATATATTTACTAATAAATATCATTATATAAATGTCTACTCTAAAATATATGTTTCTACCTATGCCTGATTATGTGTGGGGAAGGATCAGACTCTCCGTATTTTAATGCAATATTGATCTAGAGAAAGTTATTTTTCTGTTATAGCAATATTAAAATATATCTAAGTCGCCTTTTTTATTGTTTAAAAAAACTAATGTTCGTGAATTTTTTATGTTTCTTTAAATAAATCTAAATGTAACAAATGAATAAAAGAGAAAAAGAAATGGAAATTGAAGGTGAGAGCTTACTGGGACAAAAACAGAACTGTTTAATTAGTGTGAAAGGCTGAGTAGAGTATATGAACGGCTAAGTAGAGTATATGAACGGCTGAGTAGAGTATATGAACGGCTGACTAGAGTATATGAAAGGGTGAGTAGAGTATATGAACGGCTGAGTAGAGTGTATGAACGGCTGAGTAGAGTATATGAACGGCTGAGTAGAGTATATGAACGGCTGAGTAGAGATATGAACGGCTGAGTAGAGTATATGAACGGCTGAGTAGAGTATATGAACGAATGAGTAGAGTATATGAACGGCTGAGTAGAGTATAAAAGGATATGTTTATACCTTCGGGTTTTCAATGGAAGGCGGTAATTCACTTATCTTTCCCTAACACAAAGTAGAAATATTTAAAGCATCTATTTAAACTTATAATGAAACATACAATGAAATATTTCAACAACCTAAAAGCATTTCAACCTTCCGACCGAATAGTTTCCCCAGGGATACAGAAGTAAAATTAAAGGGACTGTTATAGAGTGTAGACAATAGACTGTGAACGTAATTTAATATGACCCTCTGTTGAATTCTGTAAAGTGACTTGCGGACTAATCCAGTTAAAGTAGGGTTTCCATGAGCAATAACGTTTCTTCAATTTCCGGAAAGTTCTTCTAATATCTGTTACACAAGGGACACTGGAAAATAGATTTTAGTCCTACCAATATGATTTTTTGTTGTGCCATGGTTTACAGATAAGTTAGCGGACGAGAGCTTTAGTGTAGAGGGGTCACGATATGCGCTGCATGCATAAAATGCCTTTTTTTACCACGAAATGTGCACCCTTCAGAAGGTGGGTGGTAAGGTTAGTAAAGGTCGGAGAGTGTTCTTAATGCCAGAAACAAGCTTAAAACAACTGATTTAATGAGAATCGATACCCATATTGTATACCATGCGCAAAGAATAGTCACAGAGTGGGGATGGGGTATCTTTAAAAGCTGAAGGTAGTTGGGGTAGTGAGGGTAGTTCCTATACAGATTCAGCTTCAAGTGTGGGGTCTCTCTAAAAACAGACGAAATTTTTTTGTGCACCCCAAGAAGATTTTGTCCCCCCCTAAAAACCTCCATTTTGACAACATTACTGATTAGCTTTTTATCTATATTAAAGAACCGTATATATTTTTCATACATAGTTAATGCTTGGTTTAGAACATATATTTGATGGTTACATATCAGAGTTGTAAAGGAAGTGTGATTCTGCCAAAAAATCTTAACTTATTCCTATATCTGTGCAACTCGATGTCGTATGAACAAATAAAAATTTAAAATAAGGTTTACACCATCGGTTTAAAAAAATAGGGATTAGAAAATTTTCGTTTGTGGCAAAAACTAAGTTCCTTTCTTGAAAAATCTTCCCCCCTTCAAAAAAATGTTCCCCCTAGAAATTAGATATGTTTGCACGGAGGGTTTTATTTGCGGAATATTTTGTTATGAATTGTAATAAAAAGGATAAAAACATGTCGTTTGATATCGAGTTTTTTTTCTCCACTGATCATCAAAAATTATATTTTTCTCCAGAAGTTAGGTTTGTTTGCGTGAAATATCAAAACAATTTTAAGGGTTTTAATTACTGAAATTTTGAGTAAACAGAATTAAAAAGAATGCAAACTTGAAGCTTTTGATGTCCAATTTTTCTTTTCTTTTTTTGATTACACACACTATTTTTTCCCCAGAGTTTATTTTTGTATGCGCAGAGCCCCATAAAATTGTTCAGGGTTTTACTTGCTGAAGTTAGGTTTTAGAATTATTAAAAAAAGGTTGAATTAAGGTTGAATTAAGGTTGAATTAAGGTTGAATTAAGGTTGAATTAAGGTTGAACTAAGTTACCTTTAAACATCTTTTTTTATTTATTTATATTTTTTATATAATATCATTTTATAAATATATGCACCCAGTGCTCCCTCCTCCTACCCTCACTATAGTATCAGTAGAAGTAAATTTACTGATAGCGCTGATTGGAGGATTCTTTTTTTTAATTTGATAATGAGATAGATTGAAAGATAGATGTTACCACCATTACTATTTCTATTGGTTCAGAATAGACAACAAACACATGACTGAACCCTGATTGAAACAGGCGCTAATGGACATACAGGAGTGCGCTCCAGAGCTACAAAGCAGATTTTGCGCTATTATTGCACAATTGCGCATTGGAAACCTTAAGTTAGAGACAAAGAATAAAAATGTCAGATTTCAACACTTTTTCAAATCGAAATACGACGATATAGCTTTCTCATTGTTGCTAAGATAACGGTTAAAGGGAAACTGTTGGGAATCGAACATGCCTCTATTGAAAGGAAACCAAGGTCACTTGAATTTCGTCTACAGTCTCTTTAATGGTTTTTAAAAAAATATAGCATGCGTAAAGGGATTATAACTTATTAAGCGTATTTTCAAGTAATCACTCCAAGCAAAAATGGCAATGATTTTTCTGATCAAGTTAGTAAGAATTAGATGTCATTGTTTGTAATTATGAAAATTGAATATTTACAATTGTGGGATCTTCAAAAAAGTACTTGCGCATTTCTACAACAGGAATACGACAATATATTCCGCATTATTGAACAGATAAAGGCCGAATTTATGGGGGCTGTTGGAAATCAGGCATTGTCATATTTGCCTTGAGGGTACCTAAAATTAACGCCCACAGCCCCTTTTAAGACCGATTTGCCAAATATCTCAAAAAAAAATTAAATGTAAAAATTTTAATTTTTACCTGAATGTATTCATCCACAATATTACAATCTATCCCGTAGTTGTTAGTTGCTGCAGAGCCTAAACAAAACATGATTTCTACTTTTTCGCTTTCTGCAGTGACTTGCAATTTTCAGCACTAGGAGTGGGAACAGGTAAGCCTGGAACTACGCTTCTCCGTGGAGTTTCTCATCGTATACTGTAACTAAAGTACTTGTAAACCAGTTTCAAAATACAGGGTGTTTTTTTATTACTGTAGTTTTTTATATTAAAATTCAAAAAAGGTCTGAGTAGCTTACTAATGGACTTTTTTTTATCCATTAAGAATATTCGGAAATTAAAAACATGTAAATCTGCAATTTCATATTTTCTGTCCAATAATATTTTACCAAAAATCATGTTTTCCAGAGAAACAGAATACAAATAATGATCTGATCTTTCTTAAATGTTAATACGATCTAGGCCTTGTTAATACGATCTAGGCCTTGTTAATACGATCTAGGCCTTGTTGTTAATACGATCTAGGCCTTGTTAATACGATCTAGGCCTTGTTAATACGATCTAGGCCTTGTCATAGAGAGGGTTCCCTAAAGATTACAGCCAGATAGGTCGGAAAAATGAGGGCGCAGTGTAAACAATCCCGGCGCCCCTCCTCTCGCTCATGTCAAAGTAGCAGAACTATTTTGTGTACCAAAGAGAACGGAGGCCATTTTAACCTTTAACATTTAATAAATAATTATTTATAATCTTTATTTTTGTTTCTATTTCATCTGTTTAGACTGTAGACAACTTTAATTGTTTAATAAATGTAATCCATAATGAGTTAACCTAAACTGTGCCAAAATCATAAATTACAGAATTTAAAAAAACACCCTGTATTTTCCTTTTCTCTTTACCTGTCAGGCCCAACTGAGTTATGCCTTCTTTCGGAATAAGTTTAAAGTTTGAAATGGGTATCATGCGAAAAAGTTTTTGCTGTGATTTTTAATTTGTCTAGTTTGTTTTCGTTCAAAATGAAAGTAATTTCATTTTGATCTTAAAGGGAGTGTTCGCGAAAAATGAAGGGGGTATAGGCTTAATGCGATAAAAAAGCGCTTTTGATCGCTACTTATCTTACTTATATCTGTTTCGTCTACAAGGAGAAAATTATTAAAAACGATTAATACCGAAGAACGTAGTGTCCATACAAATTCAGAAAGATGCAACATTCAACTCGGACCGTAAACAAATCGATTTAATTCCAAACAAATCATTCAGATATTACAAACAATAGTCATCGATTATTTTTCGACGCATTCGTAAATAGTTGATATTCATAATATTTTGTATTTTTCATGATCTGAGAGTTACTTTTGAAAACATTTATTCCTGTTTCGAGGATTTTTTATAATGAAGACGACATTTTCATATTTTCCAGGAATGTTCGAAAATACAGAGCCAGCGAAAATTATTTTAAAAAAACGAAATCAAAAATATTATGAAATATTATCTTTATACGAATGCGTCGAAAAATAATCGATGACTATTGTTTGTAATATCTGAATGATTTGTTTTGATAAGCCAAACTGACGACATTTGTTTTAGCTTAAATGAATTAACGATTATGTTAAAAAAAACCTTTTTTAATGTAGATACATTTGAGCTGGTCTAATACAGCTCAACATCTTTATAAGTTGTCTTATTTCCAAGTTTTTTTTCAGTAAAATTAAATTCCCCCACTCAAACAAAAATATTTAATTGATTAAAAAATTCGTTTTTAGTAAACACTCACAAAATAAAAATTGTTCAATGTCAAATTTAGAGCTTTCTATATGGCGCGCATTATACCAAAAATCATCAAATTATTGAGATATCATTGGAAAACTAAGCAAACACATAGTTTTCCTAAGAAAATTAATCCGAAGAAAAAAATGTCTTAAGACAATGAGGTCAAGTCTCAGACGTTTTCATAAAAAGGACTGTTCTCCTTTATATCTGTATATTTAATATAGCCAGGGGAGTTTTAATATCAAGCCCCTTTTTTCCATGGTTGTAAACATCCTTTGTTCCCATGCATTTTCCACTATAAGAGGACTTTTTTTTCCGTGGACTTTTTGGTACAAAATCTGGAATAAGAAAGAAAACGTCATAGAAAATAAAGCTTAAAAATGGTGGCACTTTATTTTCAGGGACTTTTTATTTCAATGACTTTTTTCCCCAGGACTATTTTAGTGCCAAAATTTAGGACTTTATTTCAAAAAGTTTTTTTGGAAGAACTTTTTGGCGGTTACTCCTTAGTAGTAGGGTATATACTCAAACTTTAAAAAAAATCAAAATTCTTTTAAAAAAACTTTATTTTCTCTATAAAATGTGATAGAGCGCAATAAACGCTCAAATCTTATAGTAAATATAAATAAGATGTTAAAGGGACTGTAAGCGTAATTTGAAATGACAATCCATGTAAATATGGCTGTGCCTAATTCACAACGCTTTGTCAGATCAAGTATAAATTAGATATCACTTTTTCTTTAAACTGTTCCTTTTCATAATTCCGGGTTCTATGTGAAAGTGACTTAAGCACATTTTTTTGCAATTCAGAGGCAACGGAGAAACTTACCTGTCGAGTCAGAAAAATTACGGGATCTTCCACATTTTTTATCAGATTAAGGTGTCAAGGGTACCTTAGTAAATCGGACATTACCATCTCTGCATAGAGGGTCACTTGAAATTACGCTGACGCAGTCCTTTTAAGTTTATTGTAACATTTATGTTTGATGAATAGCTGAGGATTAAAAGAAGTTACCTGAATACTTATGATGGAATTGTTGAATGATGAATGTTGTCAACATTAATGACATTAAAGTTAATTTTAACGTTCTACCACGATTGTGAAATAAACTGTTTCGAACTATCAACCACAGTTTTGTCGACATTGTATTTTCTAAATTTAACATAAACCTGTATATTGTGTATTTTAGCAAAATCTTATTTGTTTGAAAAAACTTTCCAGGTATGAGCTTCCGTCTTTTATAATTTCTTAAAATTTTTGCATGCTTATTTTAAACATTTGTTCTTTAACTTTTAAGTTCTAAGTCACTTTGGTATTCCATCTCTGTTATAATCAAAATAAAACCTAAAAAACAAAATCATAAAACTTCATTTTTGAATCATGAACACAACGTTTTCTGGTTCAAGTGTATCCCAGAAGATCAGAGCTGAAAACTTTAGAATGGTGGATATCGAGATTAATGCTTGATCCTCTCTTTTTCTTCATATCCAGATTAAATAATGCTTTTTCTCCTCATGTTATTAATCTCCAGATTAATTAACTGATCGGTATTAAGAATATTCCATTCAAAAGTTATCAGCTAAGATTGATCAAAACTTTCAGTATAAACTTCCATTTTGTATTTGGAATACATAGACATACCGTCGTTTTATAAATAAAACTATGAGCAACAATTTTATAAGGTTAAGACCAAGTAGATCAAAACTAATGATGGTTGATAATGAAGTTTTCTAAAATCTGGCATGCGGTGTAAACCCTATCGACCCCCCCCCCCCCACCGGTTTTTTGTCTAAAACTTAAAACGGCTAACACTAAAACGCTCAAACTTTTTCATTTTTCAACTTAATAGTATTGAACAAATTTAGCAAAAAAAAAATCTTTATTTGATGCATAGGGTAGGGTAGGGTAAGTCTAAACTGCCTATCCCTATACTAACCCAAGTTTTAGTTTCACGATTTTTAAAAATCGCGGGCTCTGGAAGATTCGCTCGGCTGTGAATTCGAAAGAAAGCGTATAATAATATTTTTTAAATATGTTTACACCCGATTCCCATATGTCCTTTAATCGAAACTGAATTAATTCTTTAATATTTTCAATTAAAATTGTTTTTTTGCCATCTATATAATAAAGCTCGTTGCTCAATAATATATTTGTATTTATAGTTATATGCTAGCTATAGCGGACGAAACGGCTGGACATATATGCTAAAATAATAATTTTTTTTCGAAAATGTATTTTTTTAACGGGCAACGCAGGTCACTTTCAGTTAGTTTTACATAATTTCAATATCCCTTTACTGATTGCCTAGACTCTAGAGGATCTCTTACTTAAAGAAGTTTTAAAATAAATTTAATCGTCTTGATCATATCACGTCGGATATGTTGTCTTTTTCTTTCAAATAATATAGTTATTTAACTTAACATGGTTGAAAGTTAATAGTCAACTGCAGTTTACCTGGTACCTAATACTCCTCTAATCATGACACAGCAGTTATTTTTAACGGTTAGGAAAGTAAGAGAAATGGAATTTGTAAAATTAGTATTCAATTAGATTTTAGGCTTAAAATAATATAACTGAACTTTAAGTCTAGGGGTCATGACATTTAAAATCTTGAAATTTTAAATATTAATCATTAATCAAAATCTATATATAGGTAAAAATATCTTATTTATGTAAATCGTACTTATACTGCAAGTAATTGTTATGTTTTATTTCATATATAGGTTTGCAGAGCGCGTGTTTTTAACTTTTATGTTGGTGAAATATCTAAACATGAGTATATTTTAAAATAAAAACGATAGATTTTAATTTTATATATTAACGGCAGATTTCAAACCTATGTTCAAGCAACATTTTTTAAATTCAGACCTGTCTGTAAACTTTCTTGAACTCATGCAAGTTACCACAAAAAAAAACAAGGCCTGATCTATCCGCTATTGAGCACATGCATTGAGGTATGCCCGGCAGCTGAAGTGTCCGGTGTTGCCCGTGAAATTTTTTAAAAAATAGAATTTAAAAGCAAAAAATCGTTTCTAAATAAAGCTACCATATAAATAAATATACAAATATATACATGAGCGAAGAAATGTATTATGAAGAATAAAAAAAATGGGAACCAAATACATTTGAATTCTCGAAGTCTTCTTTCTTCTTTTAATTCTAAAATGTAAGGAATAAGTGAACTAAATCTAAAGTGCCCTGGAACTATGCATGTCGGAAACAAATAAAGCTTTGCATTTAGGAATAAAATAAAACTATGCATGTCACTGTGGACTAGAGTCAATTTGAATTCGAACCGGACTGACCCGTGTGCCTGCCTCTGTGACGTGCGGCAAGTACCGGCCCTACCCTGTTCTATGCAGGCTCGGTTTCAACTTTGATGGCGCGGCCAGACTTTTTACAGTACCCGGTCTATCATAGGCGTATTTTACTTATCCAACTAGCTTAGTCGGAATGAAATAAAACTATGCATGTTGGAATGAAATAAAACTATGGCATAAAACTAGGGAATAAAACTATGGAATAAAACTAGGGAATAAAACTATGGAATAAAACCATGCATGACGGAATGAAATAAAACTATGGAATAAAACAAGGGAATAAAACTAGGGAAGAAAACTATGCATGACGGAATGAAATAAAACTATGGAATAAAACTATGCATGTCGGAATGAAATAAAACTATGGAATAAAACTATGCATGTCGAAATAAAATAAAACATTGCATGTCAGAAAATGATCTTGAAACGGTATATGAAAGCAATTTTTTAATAAAGAGTGTATTCAAATTTAGAATCACGGTGGACTAAGCCAGTGGGGTCGGTCAAATAGGCCTAGGATTAGGCTGGGTACTGTAAAAAGTCTGAACGCGCCATGGGAGTTGTCATAGTTAGCCCTCCGAATGGACTATGCCAAGAAAATTGACCCCTGTCGATGTTAGTTTGGTTAGGGCGACGTACTGTACAGAATATGGCAGTCCGGTACAAACTGGGCAGGTCCTGTTCGAATTCAAATTTACTACGGCCCAGAGTGGAATAGAAATGTTTTTTTCAAATAAAGTGTAGTATAAACATTCATGGTTTTTAATCTTTTTATTTCAATTTAAAGTTTGTAAACAAAACTTTTTTAATACCATCCTAAGCTGAATAGTGAATAAGCATTATTTCTGAAAGAAAAAGAAAACTTGATGAAATAGAAAATGAGAAGACACTTCTAACTCATAGTTTGTCTACTTAATAGTAGGTAAAGATATATTTATAGTATAACTGTGTTTCTTGCAGTCATGTTTCAAGCATTATGATTTGTAGAGACTGGTCTATATTAATTAGGCAGATACTTTTTATTTTCAATTTAACGTTTGTACCCATATTTTGAAGAAATGGTTCCAATTGTTCATTCATTTTTGAGAGAAAAAATATACAGTTTGTTTGTGCATGCGAGTTAATACAGTTTAATACCAAACATTTTTCAATCTTTGTTTATTCCTCGGAGAGAAATCTGTGAGCGGAGGCATTGAGTAGAATACTATTAGAGGCTGGAATAGAGGCCGTTCTACTCTTTAGTCTTTAGTCTCAAGCTATAGTACCACAGTGCCAGGCGTAAACTTTATGTATATTTATGTACAGAGGATTTAATTAGAACGTTGTACCGGTAAGTACAATTAAAATTTATGTTATGATTCGACAATTAATAATTCTAGATTTATAAAAAAAATATATATTTTATGTTTTTCTGTAGTTAATAAGTATATTTGGTACATATAGAATGTACATAAAAGAGGTGTGTATGTTATGTGTAAAGTCTAAGCTTACATTGCTGTGGTTAATGAAGAGAAACAAATTAGGATTAATCCTTTTACTCTTAATTATTCTTTCGTTAACAGAACCTTTTTATTTAAAAGTTTAACTTCATTTTTATAATTTCTTTACGGGGGCTGTAGTCTTAGTTTTAAGGTACCCTCACTTAAATTTAATAGGAGCATGCCCGATTCACCCGGTAAATTGACTTCTTAATCTGATCTATAATGTTGAAGATCACGTTTTTCTGTATTTAAATCCACAAATGAAAATGATCAGTTTTTGATAACAAATCATAGAAATCTAATTCAGACTTGATCATAGAAGGAATTCTAAAGGGTACCCTCATGAATCGGACATGCCACTCTATCAATTGAGGATCACTTGAAATTACGTGAACAGTCCCTTTAACAACCCCTTTTTCTTTTCCATTTTTGCCTTGTTTTCCGGCCTTAATAATGTACCCCAGCCATTGTATTTTATGAATTTTATTGTTTCTTAAATAATTTCATATATTCTGTGGGTTTTTTTTCTGTGTTAAACTTCATTCTTTTTTTTCTTTTAATATTTAATTTTGTCTCTTTTGTAATTTATTCTCTATCTCTCTCTTCTCATTTTTTATAGCTTATATCACTCCTTAGAAGAGTAGCTTTACCGTTTATGTATAATATATTAAACCAAAGAATTTAATATTTAAATATTAAAAGTTTATAATCTCATTTCAAACTGTTTACTGGTGAAAAGATATTTATCCAACTGTTTTAATGAATACTTGAAGTTTATCAACTACTATTCATGAAGAGAATATAGTTCCTTTGTTCAGATTATTCGTTGGAACCTTTTCTTAAAAAACAATTTGAATGGTTAAAATATAATTTAGATTTACGGGTACACCAAGGCAAAAATTGCTGTTGAAAAATTTCTGGAAACTGTTGAAATTATCGAATTTATTTTTTTATTAAAACTCGCATGTGACTATTAATATAGATGCGCTTATAAGGGTTAGAATACAGTGTGAGTGTTACATAATGTTAATTTCTAATAAATGTTTCTTCAACAAAAATAATTACGACCCTTGCTCCACTTGACAAAAGAAGATTGTGTTTTCTCAATACCTCTTCAATACAAGGATTCACTTTAAGTAATTAATAAATATTTACCTTAATTTGACATGCTTTAGACTAAAAGTACTTTAAGAAGTCGAATATCGTTAAGCCATCTCTCAATTGCCATAATTATAATCTATATATAGCATCTATATATTTATATATAAATATATAGCATCTATATAAAATACTGTTTCCAATCGGATAATCTGTCCATTTTCTGTTTCCTATATCTGCATGTATACATATTGCACATGGTTCCTACTGCATGTATACATATTGCATATGGTTCCTACTGCATGTATACATATTGCACATGGTTCCTACTGCATGTATACATATTGCACATGGTTCCTACTGCATGTATACATATTGAACATGGTTCCTACTGCATGTATAGATATTGCAAATGCACTTTTACTAAATTAATTCAACCCCCAACATCTGTAAAATAATATAGATACCGAATTCACGTGTTTTTCTTCTTTGTCTCCTAAAACTCTTTGATTAGTAAGTATTTGTTCTTCACTAAAAAAGAGAACATTTGTCGAAATATTTATGAAAATTATTTTAAAAAGGCAATAAAGTTATTTCTACCAGAATTAACAACCAGAATGTTTTTCTTTCAGACAAAGATACAAGTTCTAAACTTTAAAATGCTGGATTTAACAAAATAAATCTTTTATTTTATTTTTATCTTCCGTTATTGGCAGTGTAAGGTGGGACTAACTTAAGTCTTATCAGTGAAAAATGAACAAAATTCTGAAAATAAATAAACAATGTCAATACTAGTCAAAGGTTAACATCGGTGAAGTAATATAAAACATAAATACATTGTACAATTGGCTTGTTTTTTGTTTTTGTTTGTGTTCGGTTCTTATAAACGTCAAAATGGCAGAACATATAGGGTCAAAATTTTTGTTGTAACTCACAGTGACCAGGTCCGGGGTAGGGTAGGTCCAGTTGACCTAGTCATAACCATGACGATTTTAGAAGTAATTGAAATCCATTTATTTAAAGAAATAAATCGCGCAAATTTTTAGTTTTATGATTTAATAATAACGAAGAAAAAAATGGCAGTTTGAAAAGCATCATGTAAAGCTAGATTTTTTTTTAAAAAGAGCCGGAAACCCTAACTGCCTTGTATTACAAATTTCTTTAACTAGGCTTTCAGGGCGCTTGTGAACATGTTCTCTTTGTATACATTTAAAACTATAACAAACAAAAATTTCGCGAATTTTATCAAAAAATTTCGTGGATTTTCAAAATTTTCAAAAATAGAATTTTGTTAGAAGTAAAATTTTGAAATTTTGATTATTCATAAACCTTCCCTGGGGTCCAGGTTTTTGTCACAAAATATTAAGGGCCGTTTTGACATTATTGGATACAAACACACAAACACTAAAGGCTAGTATATATATATATCTATAAATAAATTTGGCTTGTCTGTCTGTTTGTTTGTCTGTTTGTCTGTTTGTTTGTATCCAATAAACGTCAAAACGGCTGAACTGGTCGGGCCCAAATTTTTTGTGGGACATCTAGGGACCCCAGGGAAGGTTTATGAATGATCAAAATTTTAACTATTTTATCGTTTTATAGAAATCTCTATATATACTTTGCTTGTCTGGGTGATTGTTTGTTTGTTTTCAAAATATTGCCTCTAACAAAATTTGATTTTTGAAAATTTTGAACATCCACAAAACATTCAGGGTCACGTAAAAGATGTAAATAGATAATTCAATTTTAGATTTCAGATTTTACAGAATGTCTGACGAAGATAGGATGGATGTTAGTCCTCCAATAGACGCTCCCTCAAATATTAGCAGAGCTCCCTTGGCAAGGTATCGAAGAAAATGTTTTTTTTTTATGTGTACACAATTTTTCAAGTACATCATTATGCTACAGTGTTTCCAAGAAAACCCGTGAATCCACAAATTCGTCTGTTGTGTTTTATTTAAAGTTTTAAAAAATGGAAAATTTGATCAAGCCTTCGAAAAATACGGCTATATAATGTTGAAAAATATAGAAAATGGGTTTTATGGTTTGTTTTTAATTTAATATGCAGAAAAACTGACATTCAATCACATTTTTTCGTCGTTTTTTTTTTCTTTTTTATCCCATGAAAATTTATCATTTATTTAAAGAATTATACGAACATTAAAAATCCATTATTCCATTGAAATTCATCAATATATATTAAAAATGAAAAACGCCATAATGGCTTTTTTTCTTTGGGGAATCCAGACTAAAGATAGGAATTGTTTTGAGGCCCATTATTGCACATTCAAAATTTGTTTTTGAGTTAGAGGTGCTTTAAAAGAATCTGAGATTTCCAGAAGTTTGCTTTTATTTCATTAACCAAATTTTTTCTCTCAACACAGAATTTAACCGAAGACGATTTATCAAAATGATTTAACAATTCTTTTAAAGCAGACGTTTTGCAAAATGCAGTAAAAGCAAACATACCGAATTGACAATTTTTGATTAGGTAAAAAATATAAGATCTTTTTAAAGCCTCTTAAAATAGTCAAATAACCTAGAATGTTTTAAAACAGACCTCAACATGATGCCCATCCCTGCTATAGACATGATGCCCAGCCCTACTGTAGAAATGATGCCCAGCTCTACTATAGACATGATGCCCATCCCTACCGTAGACATGATGCCCAGCCCTACTATAGACATGATGCCCATCCCTACTGTAGACATGATGCCCAGCCCTACTGTAGACATGATGCCCATCCTTACTGTAGACATGATGCGCAAACCTACTGTAAACATGATGCCCAGCCCTACTGTAGACATAATGCCCAAACCTACTGTAGACATGATGCCCATCCCTACTGTAGACATGATGCCCAGCCCTACTGTAGACATGATGCCCAGCCCTACTGTAGACAAAAACGTTTTGAGAGAAAGAATAGATATTTTTACCGATGTCGATATTTAGGATGTGTATATTTTGTTCTGAAAGTATATATAGGCAGTGTACATTTAGTGCTAAAAGTATAGGGAGTGTATATTTAGTGCTGAAAGTATATATATAGGGAGTGTATATTTAGTGCTAAAAGTATAGGGAGTGTATATTTAGTGCTGAAAATATAGGGAGTGTATATTTAGTGCTGAAAGTATAGGGAGTGTATATTTAGTGCTAAAAGTATAGGGAGTGTATATTTAGTGCTGAAAGTATAGGGAGTGTATATTTAGTGCTGAAAGTATATATATAGGGAGTGTATATTTAGTGCAAAGTATAGGGAGTGTATATTTAGTGCTGAAAGTATAGGGAGTGTATATTTAGTATTGAAAGTATAGGGAGTGTATATTTAGTGCTGAAAGTATAGGAAGTGTATATTTTGTACTGAAAGTATAGGGAGTGTATATTTAGTGCTAAAAGTATAGGGAGTGTATATTTAGTGCTGAAAGTATAGGGAGTGTATGTTTAGTGCTGAAAGTATAGGGAGTGTATATTTAGTACTGAAAGTATAGGGAGTGTATATTTAGTACTGCAAGTATAGGGAGTGTATATTTATTACTGAAAGTATAGGGAGTGTATATTTAGTACTGAAAGTATAGGAAGTGTATATTTAGTGCTGAAAGTATAGGGAGTGTATATTTAGTGCTGAAAGTATAGGGAGTGTATATTTAGTGCTGAAAGTATAGGGAGTGTATATTTAGTGCTGAATGTATAGGGAGTGTATATTTAGTACTGAAAGTATAGGGAGTGTATATTTTAGTGCTGAAAGTATAGGGAGTGTATATTTAGTGCTGAAAGTATAGGGAGTGTATCTCCAAGTCTGATGAAAAGACAGTTTCTTCTGGGAGGGAGTGTGGTTGAAAAAGTCAAGGGAAAAGAGTACAAGGTAAGATAATACTTTTTATTGAGTCAATTTTAGATATTTAAAACTCATTAAAAATCAAAATTATTAATTCATTGATTTACTTAGAATTTTAATAAAAGATAAGGTTAATATTTTTATAAATCATCGATAAAAACTGCACTGATTAGTTTTTATTTTTATCGATCATTAATATACTACTTTTATAGCTGATTATTAGATAATTAAATGCAGCTGACTGATCTCTGTAATTTTGCAAAATTAAAAAAATGTTAAATATGTCAAAATGAAATATTTAATTAAAAGTTAGAAAATTGTAAAAGACTAGGAGGGGGGGCGGGNATTAGGTTTAACTCATAATAATTTTTCTATTTCAGGTTGGACCGAGATACACAGGAACATATTCATAATTTAACCCAGACTTTAACTATTCCAACTTTTTTTTTGAAAAGTATTTTTATTTTAGCATCTTCATTATTCGTTCAATTCAAAATAAAATGTTATTGCGGTAAACTAAAGTAAACTTCACTTAAAATTAAAATATTATATATTTGAATCACAACTTCTCTCAGTGAAGAGATATTGAGAAGAAAAAAATATGTTCAAATTGTTCTTAAAAGTCACCGAATCCGGTACATTTTCTTCTCTCGTCCTTGTTTAATCCAAACTAGAGAAGCTACGAGGTTACAAAGTCGAACCCGTAATGTCAATTTGATTTTCCCTTTCTGTCTAGTTTACATTGATAGTTGCAGATATTTAGATTTGATAAACTCGAAAAACTGTTAATTCATTAAAAAATTATGGAGTTTTATCGGAAATAAAATTGTTTTATATGGATGATTTTACCCTTTGATCTTAAAATATAAACAAATAGCAATTAATAAAAATTCCTTGAAAACTCTGTCCTTGTGCAGTTCATTATTAATTTTGAATCATTTTCATGTAATAGGCTGAGATAATGTTTGAACTGAATGTATTTCATAAACCTTTAGACAAGATTCATATTCATGTAATAGACTGAGATAATATTTGAACTGAATGTATTTCATAAACCTTTAGACAAGATTCATATTCATGTAATAGACTGAGATAATATTTGACCTGAATGTATTTCATAAACCTTTAGACAAGAATCTTATCAAATTAAAAATGTTTAAATCTCGTCTAGCCGCCCAATAACAATTTAAAAAAAAAACACAAAACAATCGAGTTCGCAATTGAAGAACCCTGAACATCTGTAAAATTATGAAATTATGAAATTTAGAAATTATGTAATTATTCAGTTATAAAATTATGAAATTATGAACTTTAGAAATTATGTAATTATGCAGTTATAAAACTATGAAATTATAAAATTATGAAATTATGAAATTTAGAAATTATGTAATTATGCAGTTTTAAAATTATGAAATTATGAAATTATGAAATTTAGAAATTATGTAAAATTATATACAGTTATAAAATTAAAAAATTATGAAATTATGAAATTTAGAAATTATGTAATTATGCAGTTTTAAAATTATGAAATTATGAAATTATGAAATTAGATTTAAAGTATTTGGGTGAAGGTGCCTACGGTACAGTGGTTGAAGCAAAGGTAAATTATTTTCAGATTCATTTATTTATTCATTCATTCTTTGTCATCCTTTTATTCATCCTTTCATTCATTCATTCAAGGTTAAATATTTTTTCAATGGTTTTGGCAAGAGCAAACAATATATATTTAGCATAGGGTCCATAATATTTCTTAATCTTATCGGATGAAAAAGCTTTCAAATTGATATATTTCTTTGATGAAGGACTTATGATTTTTAAAATTTAATTTGTTTATCTCTTTTTTAGATAATAATTTAAAATCATTCATATTTTTTTTTCATATTTACAAAACCCATTAAAAAAATGATAATTTGTAATTTCTCTTTTAGAATCATAATCATCTTATCATCTGAAAATAAAAAGACGTTTTAATGTTGAGACTATTTTATTGAATTTTCTGCTTTACATTTAAAAATTATTCTATCAGAAACTTTTCAAGATGATGTATGATTTTTAAATAAACATAATTGTGCAGTTTTTAAGTGCGTCCTGATCAAAGATTTTAATTTTAGACTTTTTCGTGGAAGTTTTTTACAAAAAAACGGATTTAACTCCTTAAAAGAAAAAACGTACATACATTAAATATTTCCTGTTATCCAGTCGTAGATAGTTTTTACAATGAATAAAATTAATCTATGAACTATAGAAGGAGATTGACGTCAATTTAGGTTTAAACATAATTCAACAAATAGTTTTCCACGCTAGAACAATCAGGGTTGTTTAAACCCTTGTTTTAGCATCAAAGCCGATAAAAAGATTTGACTCAAACCTAATCTGAGCCGTCACAGGGTTGTTTAAACCCTTGTTTTAGCATCAAAACCGATAAAAAGATTTGACTCAAACCTAATCTGAGCCGTCACAGGGTTGTTTAAACCCTTGTTTTAGCATCAAAACCGATAAAAAGATTTGACTCAAACTTAATCTAAGCTGTCACAGGGTTCGCTGAGTCAGAAAAGTATTCCCGGTAAGTTCGAGGTTTGAAAATTTTTTCCAAATTCGGCAAAAAGTTTTTAAAAATTTTAGCGTTTTACATTTTTCTTTTTTTCGAAAAAAAAATGTCGACAATTAGACTGAAATTAAGTGTGCATTACTTTGATTTACAAGGAAACAAAATTCTACTTTAGTTTCAATAAGTTTTGATAGATAAAATGGTATTTATAATTCGAAAAATAGATTTTAAAAAAATGTTAAGGATAATGTGCTGAAAGAAAAAGTTGCAATCAAGAAAATTTCTCCTTTTGAACATCAAACGTATTGCCAGGTAAACGTACTGCTATGAGAGATATTTTGTATTGTACAAAAGAATATGTTTCTCGTGTACACTGTACTGTGATACATACATGTATATGATTATATTTTCTTTTCTACAAATGATTATGGTTGCTTATGTACATATGATTATGGATTTTTTATGCAGATTATGGTTTCTCATGTACAGTGATAACCAGAAAACTCCATGGAATAAGAAGTCGGCTTTTAAACTCAAGTAATGACTTTTGATAGCGCATAGAACAGGAGGCACAGCAGTTATGCAATGTAAACCACTTTAAACAACATAAAATGCACTTCAGAAATGCTATAATGTCGTCTTCTTATTCCACAGTTTTATGTGCAGATCATGGTTTCTTATGGACATACGATTATTATTTCATACTTCATATATCCACAAAGGATGAGAATTTATTCAGACTTATCTCAGACTTCATAATTATACTTTTGTATTTCCTAATCATTAAATAGACTTTTTTCAAATCAAAAGGCCAAACCAAACCCTCAAATTTTATTCCATGTCCGAAAAGTCTCTTTCTTTGTTGGTAAGGTAACCCAGTACAAACGAGTATGGGTTCTTATGTACATTCTTATTTTTTTATTTAAAAATTATGATTAGAACTCGTTAGAACCAAAAGAATGTTCTTTGGCTCATTTAAAACATTTGGGTTGGTAGAGTTTAGATTTTCAGCCAAAGTTGGGTTCCCAAGCTAGTAATGATTATAGTTTGATTGAAAATATGGCTTTGGTCCAGACAAACATATAAACAATAAATATCTATACACAACAAAGAAAGAATTATTTTTCCCACAACATATATGCTCATTTTATATTCTCTTTTATATTGTTGGCTGCTCGTTTGTACGAAACGACTGAATCAATCAAGCCAAAATATGGTTTCGGAGCTCATCAAGCTTTTCTGACCGGCAGCTAAAATTAGAATATGTTTCCTGAATCCGTTAACGGTAACCGAAAATTAACGAAAGAGTCCATTAACGAATGGCATAAACCTGTAATTTTAAAAACGTTAACGAAAGGGATTAGCCACTTTTAGAAAAAAAAAACTTTGAATTTTGATTAAAGAAATTTGGAGTTTTTCCAGCCGTGAGAGAATCTGGGTTCTCCTCAGAATAGGATAAATGTAGTTGATTTGGTTATCTATTCTAGATAAAAAATTTAGATGATTTGGATATCTAGAATAGGATAAATGTAGTTGATTTGGTTATCTAGAACAGGATAAATATAGTTGATTTGGATATCTAGAATAGGATAAATATAGTTCAACTGCTAGTGCCGATAACTATTTGACGGCGCTACGACATCTGCTCTATTTCCATTTGCTCTATGGTCATTTGCTCTATGGCCATTTGCTCTATCACGACGTTTGCTCTATACGTCATTTGCTCTATACGTCATTTGCTCTATACGTCATTTGCTCTATATTCAATCTGCTCTATGACTAAACACTTCATTTGCTCTATAACATAAAAATACACTATAAAATAGCTTTTATTGGAGCGTAACTTGACAATGAAATGCGGGAATTTTTTTTGGAAAATTCGCAAATTGCAGTTTTCATCAGTTCTTCAAAGTCCATCATGACAGCGAGACTGCTCAATAATAAGAGGGGTAAAAAAAACCTAATATGTGGTGAAAACTATATTTATTCTACTCTAAACAAACAGAGTGTCTATCAGAACTGGAGATGTCTTGAATATAGAAGGCAGAATTGTTCTGCCATTGCTAAAACTTTCATAGATCATCACAGTCATAAAAATGTTTATAGAGCAAATGACGTGTTATGTCATAGATCAATTGATGTATAGAGCAGATGACATATAGAGCAAACGTCGTGATCTATGAGCTATAGAGCAAATGGTTAATAGAGCAAATGGCCATAGAGCAAATGACCATAGAGCAAATGGAAATAGAGCAGATGTCGTAGCGCCCTATTTGACAAACTGTTAACGCCGTTAATACTACTAAAGACAAATAAAGGCTACACCACTAACGATTTCATATCCGTTAACGACTTGAGCCGTTAACAACTGTTGAACATTTTCCGTTAACGCACTTAAGTATTATTTAATGTCGACTGTTGTATTGTAACATTGGGCAGAGATTCAAATTCTATTTTTTGATTCTATATTTCCAAGTGTTTACGTTATTCAAGTTCATTAACGTATTTGTAACGCACTATTGAAATTTTTAAGTTATAAAATAATATTTGTATAAAGGAAATCAATAATTATATAGATTAACGATGTTTACTCTAATAATTAAAAGATGAAAGTTTGTTATATAAACTTTTAAGGTGCTTATGTTATTAAATTTGTGAGGGGTGAATTCATTCAATATTTCTTTTAACTGTTGACAAACATTGTATACAATAAATAAAACATCACATGGAATTATCTGAATGGTAATACTTTTCATTGGAAAAAGTATTTACATACAGTATTTAACGTACAACTCTTTTTAACCCAAAAAATATTATTTTATATAACCTTTTTCCGCCCTGTACCCTACCCCTGTAAATCAAAAAAAAATTAACAAAAAATCCTTTAAATTACTATTTATTAAAAGTCACAAAATTTTACGGTGATAGTGTCAAAAATGAGAGTGCTTCTAGAAATCTCTGTAATAGGAAAACACCTTTTAGAATCAAAGTATAACCTTTAAAAGTGCAATGATCATGAGACAGAGGAATTGTGGGTTTAAAAAAGACCTACTTCACTAAATTACTTATTTAATAAGTGTTTATTGCTTTGTAACAATATAAAATATAATGAAGTATGGATATAACACCGGCCATGATCCTATTCATTTTTTGTTCTGCTTATCGCTGTAAAAGATTTGTATATTTGTATGATATAACTGTAGTTTACACAACCCAAGTATATTTATTACCCTGTGTTTAGTTCTGCATTGAATCAGAAATTTAAGAGAGTTTCGTTAAACATAACTCTTAAGTTTCCTGTTCGGGGTCCATGCGTTTACGTAGATTTTATTCTGAAAACTCAGAAAACGAAAAAAGAATGTAAAGAACCCGACAACATGTAATAATATTATTAAACAAAAATATTAGTATCTACAAACTGCCTGACCCCATTCATGAAACCAGGTTTCCGATACTGGGTTTCGTTACGATACTCTATTTTAAGTTTCGGGCCCTGAATCAACATTGAATACATGTATTCACAACTTCTAATCTCTCTAGGCATGCTAAATTGCTAAACATTCTCAGAAAAGGAAAAAAATTATGAAAATTACTTTTTTCTTTTTAAGAAATTAAACAATTTGTAGAACACTGCGAGCCTTCTGTACATTATTCACTTTTTATGTTCACTTTTGATTAATGATTTATGAGTCATAACTGATATTATCAATCGACAAATTTTGCTGCCTTAGAGATTTAATAACGTCGTAAAAATATGTTGATAAGCACAATACAATTAGCTTAAAAAAATTGCCTTGTACGTTGCCAAAAGCCAGGTTACAAATCACTATAGACAACTGAGCCCGCGATTTAAAAGCTTCGACTCGAGTCTTAAGACCCAATATTAGACCCAACTCTGACGACAGCTTGTGTCACGTGATTGACAGCTGCGAGATCTTAGGCTCGACTTAAGGAGTTAAGCCCAATGAAAATAAAACCGACCTTGGTTGGTTTTAGTGAAGAATAAGGCTCATGTTGGGTCTTATTCTCATCAAAACCCGGAATGTGCAAATTCCAACTATGAAAATCCGTCAAATACAGAATTAAACCGGTTTTACGAACTAAATTCTGTTGAAAAATAGATGCAACTTAAATCCGAAAGCCCGAGCCGTATATAAGGCTCAACGACAGCTTAGACCTGAGTCGTATTTTCTTGAATTTTTTAAATCGCCGGCTCTGAAGAAATAAGAATATTAACACATTACAGCTAAATAAATTTGATAGCACAATGCAAACTTGAAGAAAAAAAAGGTGATTTGCATGTTTGCAATTTGTAATTTTCAAAGTAAACAGCTACTCTACTACAGCTAGCTATCAAAATTAGTGATGAGCTTTTGAAATAAGTTAGATCAGTGTCCGAATTTAATTAATTTAAGCTGCGTCTCAAATCCCCTAAAAGCCGGTTTTAATTGAGCGCCGGCTTAAATAGTGAAAAATGTTATACAATTTTAAGTGGAACCATGACCATATTTGAGCCGCGGCTTTAAATTCGGCCTCCCAGTATCAAATTAGAAACTCAGCTCATGTCACAATATAATATTATTTATTAGTTTTGTTTCAAACAATAAATAAAAAATTGCAAGAATGCAACAATTCTTGTTTATATAAATTCCACTCACGTTAAACTAAATTGCACAAAAGATTGAAATATTAAATTTGTCTAATCATATTCCTGTTTTTGAAAAGCTATGGAGAAGAAAAATTGTATCAAATTCCAAACATGTTACCGGAGCTGAAAACTTTAGAATGAGATATCCTTAATCCCGATTACTTAATCTGAGTATCCATTGGACACACTTTTGATTTTCTTCTTAAACCGTTCTTTCTTGGATATAGTAGAGAGAGAAAAATCAAAGACAGGTTTTTCTAAATTAGAGAGTTCCTCCCATGCTGTATAAAATCTTAAAATTTCAAATTTATCGGCTTCGTATATGCGACTCTGATTGGTAGAATTTTATACACTTTTTTAGGATACAAGTACAAAATTTGGTTAGTCTTGATATTATGAAAAAGAGAGGATCACGCATTAATCTCGATATCCACGATTCTAAGGTTTTTAGCTCGGATCAATTTTCTTTCTCATACTTCTGTGTTCAATCAAAATTAGAGAAACTGCGAGGACGTAACCAATAATGTCGCCAAACTGTTGACCTTTGATTATTTTGTTTAGTTTGCAGTGTAATAGCAGATTCTTTTCTTTCAAGTAATTAACTTGTTAACTTCATTTTTCTAGTCAATCTCTAGAATTAATAAAAAAAATTCTAGTGAACCCTTTTTTGAATGAATCTCAATTTTATATCTCAGGAAACCCTGTTTTATCAATTAGTAAAATTCCAGCGAACCCTATTTAATAAATCTCACTAAAGAAATCACAGGAAACCCTGTTTAATAATTCTTTTTTAATTATAGCGAACCCTGCGGGAAATCCGTATTCTACTGAGCCTAGAGCATGAGAATATTATAGACATCAGGTAGGTCAATTGGGACTTTGTTAAATAATTATTATTATTATTATTGTTATTATTATTTTGTTATTATTATTATCAATGTTGTTATTATTCTTATTATTTTTGTTTTACCAGGGTGGATACATGGGGTGGGGGTAAGATTTTGAAGCAAAACATGTTTTCATCCCAATTTAATAAAATAATGTTCTTAATTTGATCTTGGATTAGAATAAATATCGAATATAAATAAGGAAAAAAAAGGTAAGTTAAGTAATTTAGGATTTTAGGAACAAGGTCATTATAGGTTAAAATGAACAATACAATAACACAAATGTTTGGTGAGTTAGAAACAACACAAAAAACTAGATTAGAAACATTAAAAGAGGAGGAAAACACATTAAAAATAAATATTGGAACTATAACAAGAACATTGATTATTGAGTGAGCTAGGAACACCATAAAACCAACAAAAAACTGTTTTCTTTCGGAAATCGATTTTCATACATGCACTGAGCTGGGAACTTTAGAATGGGATACCTTTAATCCCAACTGCTTAATCCGAATATCCAATGTGGACACTTTTAATTTGTTGCTTAATCCACTATTTTTTATTAAATACAACAACCGGTTTTTCAAAATTAGAAAGTCCCTCCTGTTTCTGTATATAAATCCTAAATGTCGCGAAAAATTTCAAATTTTCCGGCTTTTGATACGCGACTCTGATTGGTTGAAATTTATAAACATTGTTATAAGAATTAGGAACAAATATAACGATTTTGGACAGGAATTTCGGGTCTAGGGAGGGACACAGTGTTAGGAATAGTAACAAAAATAGGAACATTAAGCAAGTTACAAGTTAGGAATAAAATGAAAGAACTAGGAATTAGGAACACAAACTAAAGAACTAGGAACTTAATTCGTAAAACATGAAATAGTGAGCAAACATGATGATGCAGCCTACAGGTTTGTTAAATAAGGAACAAAAAAAGGAAACATGCATATGAGGAAAAACGTCATTCATACTGTACTTGAATTAGGTACAATTATAGTCAATAATAGGAACATAAAGCATGTTAAGAATGAAAAGAAATTACTAGGTGTTAAATGGATGTAAATTAAGAACAATATTACAATTTTGATTAATGAGTGTAGAAGATTATTATGCATATGCTTTCATCATTTTCTGTTCCTATATTTTCAAATTTTTTTGTTCCTTTTTTTTGTACCTAAAACTCTGCCCCCCCCCCTGGCTGAAATCCTATGTCCGCCCCTGTTGTGTTATCATTATTATTGTTATTATCATTATTAGCATTATTACAAATGTTATTATTATTATTACTATTATTATTGTTTGTGGAAATTATATAAACTCAACCTTTTAGAATCTATATAACTCCGTATGAGAGCTCTACAGTAGAACAGCCCTCATTCAGCATTTTACTCTGAAATAAGTTTAAAGTTTAAAGTTTAAAGGATGGTTGGGAAGTGAAGCTAAAAAGGCCCTACAAGGCCCGATGAAAACTTGGTACCGCTCGTCTACCGCTCCTACGCGCTCTTTTTGCGCTTACTCGTACCGGCCTCATGCTCGTACCAAAAAGTTTATAGTTTTAAAGGGACTATTCCTGACAATTTGGATGAATCATCCAAATTGCTGTACTCGAAGAATTAGGGTGGTTTAGCCAGCCTCAGATGTTATTATTATTATTATGTTATTTTTATTATTATTATTATTATTATTATTATCATTATTATCATTATGATGATGAATATTAAGAGATCTCCTGTGTGATGAAAGTATTGAGACTCTAAAGGATATTTACATAGTGCAGGTAAAAAATATTTTATAAAAAAAAAAGAATTACAATTACGAAATTAAAAAGATATATTTAAGCCACCCGTGTCCCGTACCTCTCGATATATTCGGTATGCAGATATATGGGATTAGGGAGTGTCATTGTAATTTCATTTAACCCGTGATTTACAGAGGGAACCTTATAAACCTTGAACCTGATAAATAATGTGTAAGATATACGTTTATCTAGCTTGATAAGTGTTTAATTTTGAAAATTTCCTCTATTGTTTCTGGAGCAGAATCCGTGAAATCAATGAAGTAAATTCTTAAAAATATGTATACACTATAGGCTTTAAAAGGGTACTATTTCGCACACACTTTTCAAGTAAGAATATTAATTTCGAAGTCGCAATTTATTTCATTATTTTCGGATAAAACATTTTTCGGGGATTTTTCGGTTAATATTGGCGCATGAACAAAATGAAATACCAACAAATATTTCGGGCCAAATATTTAAAATTTAAAGGTCCATAAACCTTTCGTAGGACAGATCGGTTAAGATGTTTTGATGTTTATTGGATGCAACAATGACAGGCAGACAAGGCCAAATAAGATATAAAAAATAAATAAAGAAAAGATTATATTGAGTATTATAACTAATCTTAATTATACCAGTAAACAGATCATAAATAATAATATTTCTATCGAACAATTTTATATTTCTAATTATTCTAATTAACCTTTCTTCTTTAGCTGAATGGATTAATACGAAATCTATTCATACCCTCTACTTATCTACTTATAGTAAAAGGGGGAGGGGGTCATAACAGAAAAACAATTTTCTAACCCCCCCCCCCCCCAACTTCCAGCTCTATCTACGGGTTTAGGCGCGCCATATTATTTTAATTTAATTGATCAGAATTAAAACTGAAAATTGAATTGATCATCTTGTTTAGAGTTTGATGGAGTGTGATCTTCATAAACTTCTCCGGTCACAACGTCTCTCTGCAGATCATGTTTGCTACTTTCTATACCAGGTCAGCTACATTATATACCAGGTCAGCTACATTATATACCAGGTCAGCTACATTATATACCAGGTCAGCTACATTGTATACCAGGTCAGCTACATTATATACCAGGTCAGCTACTTTCTATACCAGGTCAGCTACATTATACACCAGGTCAGCTACATTTTATACCAGTTCAGCTACATTATATACCAGGTCCGCTACATTATATACCAGGTCAGCTACATTATATACCAGGTCCGCTACTTTACTTCCTATATCAGGTCAGCTATTTTATATGTTAGGTCAGCTAATCTATATACCAGGTTAGCTACATTATATACCAGGTCAGCTACATTATATACCAGGTCAGCTACTTTACTTCCTATGTCAGGTCAGCTATTTTATATGTTAGGTCAGCTAATTTATATACCAGGTTAGCTACATTATATACCAGCTCAGCTACTTTATAAACCAGGTCAGCAACTTTATATACCAGATTAGCTACTTTATATTCCAGGACAGCTACTTTATATACCAGGTCAGCTACTTTATATACCAGCTCAGCTACATTATATACATGGTCAGCTACTTTATATGTTAAGACAGCTAATTTATAAACCAGGTCAGCTACTTTATATACCAAATCAGCTACTTTATATATAAGATTTGCTACTTTATATATTAGATCAGCTACTTGATGTATTAGGTCAGCTACTTTTTACCAGTTCAGCTACTTTGTATACTAGGTCTGCTACTTAATAACAATTTCAAGTTTCTAAGTAAATTAATGGTTAAAGACGACACTCTCTATTTTGTATTGATTAACTGTAAATAAGATTTTACTTTATGCTATTTTTAGATTCTTCGTGGACTCAAGTACATTCATTCAGCAAATGTTCTACACAGGTATAGTGTTAAAGTTGGTACACTGTACACTGTACACTGTACAGTGTACAGTGTACTACTTATTTACTTCATGAAGAGCATTTATAATTGTCTACCTGTTTACCTTTTTACTAAGTCTACCTGTCTACCTGTCTACCTGTCTACCTGTCTACCTGTCTACCTTTCTAAATGTCTTACTGTCTACCTGTCTACTGACCTACCTGTCTACCTGCATACCTGTCTACCTGTCTACCTGTCTACCTGTCTACCTGTCTAACTGTCTACATGTCTACATGTCTACCTGTCTACCTGTCTACTAAGTCTACATATCTACCACTTTATCTATATCTATGTACTAGGGATCTAAAACCCTCTAATATTCTGCTCAACTCCAACTGTGATCTCAAGATTTGTGACTTCGGTCTCTCCAGAGTCAGGGAACAAGAAAACCGTCCAAAATATAATTTTTTTTTAATTTATTATTTTTTCAGGCCCAAAATAGCTTTAATTATTAAATCAAAGATAAGAAAAGATGAAAAAAAATACATGCTGTATTTTTGGTTTTTATTTCAATTGTTTTATCATATAGTAAGTGATTTTCTAAAATGTTTGCTAAAATATTTTCTCTAATCTTAATTGGAATGGAATAGAATCTAATCTAATCTAAAAAGCCTGATTACCCGAAAAGAACTCTATCAATTCCCTTCTACCATACTTTATCATTCATTATAAAAAGTCGTGTTTGCTATTATACGCGATTTTTGTTATCAACACCTAGGAAACGCACCACAACATTTTGCTATTTGAAAACCATTACATAATTTAGGGTTAGGTTACCCACAATATAGTACTGCGGCTAGGGCAGGCTAGAGAATAAGGGCTGTATATGTAAATAAAAATTTACGTATAGCAAAAAAAATGCATGTAGAAAAAAAAGTTTTAGCAAGAATTTCGTGGCACGGCGCCCGAAATTAACAGGTTATGCAACAAAATTATATATTCTGAAAACGTTGTTTGAATTGTGATACGTTGTATTTCAAACAAAAGACTTTTTATTCCTATCTTATCTTTAAAATTAATGGTGATTTGGGATTTTTAAATCTAATTTTAGATTTTTAACGATCTTACTTTCAAAACATTTAAAAGATAATTATTTAAATTTTGAACTGTTTGGATTCAGTGATCCTAGTCACGACCACACTGGGCTTCTAACAGAGTACGTAGCGACAAGGTAGGTTAAATTTTTAATCATATCAGGTTTCATACTTTTTCATTAAAAATGACAAAGATATTGTATTTCTTCCTCTCCAAGATTTTAGATAAATCCTTGGTTGTAACCAGTAAAAGTAAAAAAGTCAAAGTTAAAGTTTTCTGGAAAAAAATCTCTTTTAAGTTAGTAATAAAAATTCAAAAAGATGGAAGAGACATGTTTAAACAACACATATATAGTATAGGGAGTGTTCTAATAATATTATAGGAACCTTCTTTAATTTAAGAATGCCATCAAATTTAAAGATTGATCCCACAATCAATTTGGCATCATTTACAAGACAGGGTTGACTTTGAAGTGTCGTAAAGCTTTGAGATTTGATTTTACAGCTTTAACTTAATTATGCTTTTTGTAGCCCAAGACATCACAATGAAACTCGTTAAAGAATACCATCATAATATGAACCATTTTAAAGGGTTCCATCACAGTAAAACTCTTTAATAAGAGTCCTCGTATTGCATTGGAACCCTTCTTTTAGTACTAACTTAATGAAACCTCTTAACCTTTATAAAAGTAATGACAATGGTTAAATCTCCTTCTGTCTCAAAGTTAAAATGTTATAATTAGTATCGGGGACTAGAGAACATTTGAGCATATAAATTAAATTCGCATTATTACATAAACTCTGGAAAAATTTCGGAGATGTAGGATTACCGGCCCACAATGGTTGAGATTTTATTGACGACCTAAAACTATTTCGATATAATGTTAACAGTTTAAAGCTGAAGGGAAGCAGGAATTTAAGATCAAAAATCGATCCATTTCCCTAGTTTCTGAAAAGTCTTGTCCTAAGTGCTGTGAATCATTTATGCACTCCCTTATTAAAAATTCCTAAAACTTTAGGTCATCATTTCCTTTAAACTTAGAAAAGAATTCAATCAGAGAACTGTCCTCCGTTGATTATATTTTCTATTGGTTCTGTGCAAGAAAAAGACCAAATCTATAGTTGACAAAAAATTATCAATTATATTTCTTGTTTTCTACCACATATTCTCCTTGGAATCCACGAAACATCAAAATATATTCTTTTTATCTTTATATTTCTCTTTTTTTACTGCAAGATGATGAGACTTTGTTTATACAAGTTTTATTAAAAATACTAACTTTATTAGGCGATTATTTGGGTTTATGTAATTGTTATAGTGTTAGTTATTAGAATATGATTATATAGGTTTATAAACAAGGACAGAATTATTTGACCATGTAAAATTAGAATATGTTTATGTAGGTTTATAAACAAGGATAGAATTATTTGACCATGTAAAATAAGAATATGTTTATGTAGGTTTATAAACAAGGACAGAATTATTTGACCATGTAAAATTAGAATATGTTTATGTAGGTTTATAAACAAGGATAGAATTATTTGACCATACAAAAGTCTAAAAACAATTGGGCGCAAAATATGATGTAGGCTCTTTAAGTGGTATTTAGCAATATAGTCAAAATTTAAAACTGTCCCTAAAGTTTTAACATAAATATTCGTGAAGTCTGCAAAAATTTAAAATGTTTTTGGATAATAATGTCAGATAGCAGATAAAGCAAAAGTTTAAATAACTACTAAGAAAAGAGAAGTAAAGATAACCTTGTTTAAAAAGTGTTTGGTGAATTTTAATCGGAACCATTTTTCAACAATCGAATAATTTATCCAAATCGGACCAAACAACAATTGATCAATTTGTCTCAATTGGTCAAACTAATTTTTTTTTAGGTGGTACAGAGCTCCAGAGGTTATGCTGAATGCGAAGGTTTAAAATATAATAAGAAAAAACTCTCGAAATCTGATTTCAAAAAGAAATTTCTCAAATCGGATTGAGCAAAATTTTAAAAAGAAATTTTTAAAATTGAATTGAGAAAAACATCTTAAATTCGTTTAAGAAAGAAATTTGTTCAACCAGTCCTCATTTAACAATAATGTTTTGTTAAAGAACATCATTGAAAACATTATGACAAGCTAATCAAACTGACTGATTGATTTATTGATTACAGTATATGTATGTACACATTATATAAACCTGTAGCTTCACTTTCTAAAAGACAAATTAAAGATATTTTTAAACTTTTGAGTTTTTAATCTTTCCAAATTTGTCAAATTTGATTTGTTGCTTCAATAAAGTGAATTTTTGCTGATTATGGTCAAAAATAATATACGCGCCATTATTTAAATTAATGACAGGATCGATAACTCGCATCCTTGTTGACCACAGACTGGGTTTCAATGAATTACAGACGGGGGAGAGGGTAACTTTTATCCATACTCGATAAAAATAATTGGAGGATTTTTAAATATTAACTTAAGAAATAAGAGAATGCATAAAGATATAATATTGTTATATGGACAAAAGAAATAAAAAAAAACATTAAGCTTATTATTTATTTTTTTATTTTAGGTTTCTTTAGAAAAAAACATTTTGAAAATTGTTAACAAAGACAAAGAAGTTTAGAACTGTAATGTTTTTGGTACATTATTTTCTTGATTGCTTTGAATTAATAAAGTTTTGAAAAGTTCAATTCATAAATGAACTTTGGCTCCGCTGGTTCTTTGAGACTACAGCCATTTGAAAGGCCCCTTGGTTAAAAATGCCATAATAAATTTTAACAATAAACCGTAAAACTTGGATGGTTCGCCAAAAATTACAAAAATCTTATTAAACATATTTCAATGATTAAAACGACACAATTTTTCTGAGAAATTTTTGTGAAAAATGCTTATTTCTTATAATTTTGTCGAGGGCCGATTTTTATTGTTTTTTGATTATTTTGATTATATATCATAAGTTATACAGCAATGTTTTTTTTTCAGGGCTATACACACGCATTGGATACTTGGGCTGTTGGATGTATTCTAGGCAATTATTCTTCATCTTCTCCCTCCTTCATAAAAGTCACATTCTGGAATTTTTCTTTTCATATGAAAATTATCTTTGAGTTTTTGTTTCTCTCTGGAATATTTTAGTAATTTAACAAATTTTGTAAAAATGAAAATGATAAATGACCGACCCACAGTAATCTTTGTCTAAGAAACAATGAATGAGATATTTAATTTTCGGATTAAAATGAAACAGGGGTCACAAAAAATTTCTAAACTATCGACAACAATTTTGTTTCTTTGAAAAATTTTTAAAGGAAAAATGAATATGATTCAGTGTCTTGGCTCATTTGAAGGGAAATTTTCTTGAAATTAGTAAATTATCATCTTTTTAACTTCCTTTTCTGAACAGCTGATTTCTAAACAGCTGATTTTCCAAACAGCTGATTTTGAAAACATCTGATTTTCTAAACATTCTAAACCAACAAAATGAAGAATAAGAATTGTGTCCTCAGGAGAAATGCTAAATGGAAAACCTATGTTCCCTGGAAAACATTATCTCGACCAGATATCTAAAATTCAGGGATTTAAACATTAAGTGGTAAAATAAGCCTACACAGTTTTTTACAGAAGAAAAATATCTTAATAACAAATTGCAAATTGCAAATCCCCCTTGATTGGTGCAAAATGCAATAATCGAAAAAATTTGCAATGAAATTATTCGAAATCATGCTAAATGATAATCACGATCGAAATCAAAAGCCATTTTATAATGAACTTAGTCCTGAAGCGTTATTTTTTATCTTCAATCCATAACAAATGTTTGATATTAATGTGTAGGAAGTGCTGGGTTCTCCATCAGTTGAGGACCTAGAGTTCATATCAAACATTAAGGAACAGACCCTTTTCTTACAATTTTTCAAATTTTTCGATTATCATGATTTGAAAGATGGAAAAAGAAACTGAACATTTGCCTCAAACTCTATTTTCTAGTTTAACATTGATCATTAGAATGACGTTACATAACTTTACATTATACAGTGTGGCTTTCAAAGAATGAGTCTTGTATATTTCTTTTGACACTTAGCTAAAATTACAATTTACAACTTTACAAGACCTAAATTTATTCAGACGACGGAATTAAACCTTCAAGTTTTGCATATTTAGACAGTTCAAAGTTCAATTAAACTTTGGTGTTAAATTAAAGTTTAAAATAATTTGAATATTGTGACTAAATTCTGAAATCATTTTTATCGTCTGAATTCTCAAATACTTAAAAAAACACCAAATTAGATAAAGATATAATGTGATTTTCTTTATTTGAAAATCTCTTTTTTTCATTTTACCATTGTTTTGTGCCTTCTTTCTAGCAAAACCATAATTTTATTCATTTTGTAATGTCGTCGGTGTTCTGAAAATACATGGTGTCCCACATCATTTCGTGACTAACCAGAAAACGGAAATGTATTAAATCATTTAAAGGGAGTGACCGGCTATGTAAGGTAGTTGAACTGAGTATGCAGTGGTGTGGACAAATTTTTTAGGATTCATTTAAGACATATAAAACTTTTGAACTTTGCGTTTGAGCGCAAAGTCGACGTTCAAAATCGTACTTTTAGGTAGAAACGATTACAGAATTGTTTTTTTTTTTAATTATTAAATAACGACAGCAAAAAAATGTTTACGAAATTCTACAGTAAACTAATTAGTTGTTTAGGAACAGGTTGAGAAAATAAAAATTAATCTTATCATCGAAAATAAGTATTCTTATTCAATAATTAATTTCTATTACCTTTCATTATATGCAAAAAGATATTCTACCGATTTTCTGGAATTTATATTGAAAAGACGACATTTGAAGAATTTGTAGAAATCTGCGAATAGATTCATAGAAAATAAGAAATTCAATATAATTAAGAAAACGAAATAATTGATTCTAGCATTGATTTACTGACACATTTCTTTTGAGAAATATGTTCCAAACCATCAAATTGGTTTACTGTATGATTTTTAATTTATTTTCGTCGTCATTATTTAATAATCTAAAAAAACGATTCTGAAAACGTACCCACCCAAATTCATGATTTTGAAATGCACTCAAACTCAGTAATTATACATTGTGGAAACGTTTTATATTTCACAAAGACACAAACACAAAGAATTTGTCCACAACACTGCATACGCAGTTTAATTACCTTACATAGCCGGTCTGTCCCTTTAAAAGAATTGTGTGTCTAATATAAAAAAGCATGGATGCAGAAAAAAGGGTTATTCTGTGCATATGTTAGCGCTAAAGCTTTGAGTTAATGATACTGGACACTCCATGTATATATCCTAATCCGGTGTTGTGCGTCGGTTCATCTTATATCCCCTGGTGTTTTAAAACCAGCGTTAAACATCAAACACTTGCCGATCTTTATTTTTATTGAAAAAAATATTAGAAAACATTTATACCTTAAATATTTATGAATTGTTTGAAAATTTGAATGGAAGACAACTTTTAGAGGAAATAATCTTTTTGTGCTTTCACCGTTTTTTTAATAGATTTTAAAACTAAATACGAATTTAAATATTAAATTTTTCAATGTTCAATGTTCCAAAATTGCTTTTTATGTCTGTCGTTGGTTTTGAAATGGTTAAACACTAAAGGAGATAAACCGACGCACTGCACCGGGATTACTATTGTACAGTGTCCAGTACAGTACAAATTAAGATGGGCCGGCCCGGCCCACCTTTAAGCTTTCTCTTAATAAGAGTTCTGTAGGCGAGACAGTACGTAGAGAGTTTGAAGAAAAAAGACCGAGTTTCCTGGAAATCTGTTTACCCTGATACTGATGCGAGGTAAAATATAATCTATCACGAGAATTAGTTAAACTAAGCAGACGTAGTTAACCCGATTCTATTGTGCACGGGTTCAATTCGAAGAGAAGTGGTTCAAATAAATGATATGCATAGTTCAACCACTAAGCTATTAATTTGTCCCAGGAACTCAACATCTTTGTTTACAAACTGTTTTTGTAAGGAATATAAACAAACCCCCAGCCTGAGCAGCACTGAGCTTATAACATTTTTTTTCAGAATCAGCAGTACACTTAGTTTGTAAACAAAGATATGGGATTCCTGGCATATTTTGAATTACAAAATGTAATGTCTAGACTCTACCCAACCAAACATCGTTTATCCTGTATCAATTGATAAAGGTTTCCCACAAAGGATGAGAAATTTAATATCTTAATATTCATTTTAGCAAAGCGTTATCGTTTGCATAGATACTAATTTATAGTTAGGTTTCGTTTAATTCATCATTACAATAGTTTACTATTTTAAAAAACATTATTACAATTAATTGTATATATCTATTATGATGTGGAATAGTTTTATTTGAGTGCTAAAACTTTTTTGCACTCCGCGACCAAAAATACGTTTAATTCTTCAATTTTTTTATGTTGTTCGTTTTTCTGCTCCCTTTCCTTTTGCGCAGATGACTGAAGAGTCCTCTTGGAACTGGAACTTTTTCTGGGACATTAGTTTAGACTCGGGAGTTTCCTGGGACTTCACCAGGGAAGTTGGAGTCTCTTGGGACCTCACGACGAAAATGGGAGTCTCCTGGGTGCTCACAATGGAAGAGGTAGAACTCTCTTGGAACCTTACAACGTAAGTGGGAGTCTCTTGGATCACGGAAGTGGGCGTCACTTGGGACATCACCACGGAACTGGGAGTCATCTGGGACATCAACACGGAACTGGGAGTCAACTGGGACATCACCACGGAACTGGGAGTTGTCTGGCACATCACTAAGGATATGGGAGTCATCTGGGTCATCACCACGGAACTGGGAGTCAACTTGGACATCACCACGGAACTGGGGGTCATCTGGGACATCACCACTGAACTGGGAGTAATCCGGGACACAAACTCTTACTTAGATGAAGAACTCAGTACTCTTTGATCTTTCATAGCGTTCGGAAGAGTCTGAATTGCCCTCACCATATGTGCTTCCTTGGAAGAAGGGATGGTTTCATTTTATTTTATTTTTTTCTGCTCTTTCTCACCCTTTTCCTCCTTTTCTTCTCCTGTTCGGCATCCTGGAAAGGGACTGCAGGGGAGGGTACCGAGGGTTTGGGAGATGAGAAATTGGTGTCTTCATTTACCTAGGGATTTTCTATTATATGAGTTTCAGGTCGTCTTTACAGTCTCCTTCTTTTGGGGCAACATAGTATGTTTTTGGCTGAAATCATATCAAAAATATGATAAATTTTTAGTTTCTTTACTTAAAAAGAACTCCTGCATAACCATTTATAATAGTTTCACTTGATGTCATTTACATCACATTAAACAAATCTTCATTTATGTTAAGCTTAAACATTCTGCATGTGTTTAATGGCACATTTTTTAATGAATGGAAGTTTTAAATCTTGGTATGTAAACAAATCCTGTTACATTAACTACCAGAATATGCATTACATTTGGTTTGTAAACAAAGATATGTGGGTTCCTGGTAGAAGTTCCTTACGTGGATTTACAAAAACTACTATATCTAGTATTTTCCTTGTACCAAGACAGTGCTTGATTTATAAAAAAAGTTTTCTGGCGGATCCAAAATTCCAAAATAAATTGTTTTAAAAAAGAAACTTTAATTCTAATTCCTCTTTAAAATAAAGTTAAACTTTGAATTCTCGAGATCTTTTGTTGAATTCCAACTTTATATGTCAATATTTGTAGATGTTTGGATTTACTGGATAAACTTCTCTCCTTCTCTCCTAGCTCCAGGTTGTCTATAGAGCAGGCCCTGGCTCATCCATACCTAGATAACTATTATGATCCACAGGTAAATCTATATATAGCTCCAGGTTGTCTATAGAGCAGGCCCTAGCTCATCCATACCTAGATAACTATTATGATCCACAGGTAAATCTATATATAGCTCCAGGTTGTCTATAGAGCAGGCCCTAGCTCATCCATACCTTGATAACTATTATGATCCAGAAGGATGAGTAATCAGTAAAACTTTTAGAATGTTGTATTACTGATGAAGGTTTGATTCTGATTTGATCACTGCCACCAAAATACTGTCGGACGTATTATTCAACTTCTTTTAAAACACTACCTAATGTGTATGTGTTTGGATGTTTAGGTATTTGAAATAATTTTAAAGAAAAAATTCATCGGTTTCCATCGAAGTTTTAAAAAATTTGCCAAGAAAAAATGTCGCCACGTTGTGTTTCTGATCTGTGGATCAAATGGTAAAATTTGGCATATTTCAGCATCGGGTATAAACATTATATAATTTCTTTATCTAACGGTTACATTTTTTAAGTTCTTTGCTTAAAATAAAGAAACAGGGCTAAATGAAAAAATCCGAGGACTTTTTACATTTTTTTGAACAAAAATAAACAATTACTTAGAAAAATTAAAATTTATTTGGTTGCTCTCTCAAAAATCCGAGCCTTAACAATAACAGGAATTGAGTTGAGTCTAAGGTCTCCATCAGGTTTCAAAGAATTAGGGATTAGAAAAACAGAGTTTGTATTAAAGACTCAATTTCTTTTGTACTTTTCATTAGTCTTTCATCTGCATATATGATACAGTTGAATTTCTTCAAGCTTCTCGTTCTGCTGAACAATCTGCATATATGATACAGTTGAATTTCTTCAAGCTTCTCGTTCTGCTGAACAATCCGCAGATTTTGAAATGTTTTTTTGCAAACAAAAGAATTAAAACCTTGTTAATGCTAATTTCACTAAAGTTTAAAATCTTATAAACGGAATATTTAAACAAGACCTGAGTTCCCTGCAGTCCTCGGTGCAGTTTTTAAACTTTCATAAAATAATTAATAAAAAACTTTCGACTTGAGAAAGTTGGACTTTTTGAACTTTGAATAGAATTGTTGAATATTAAGTGCACTTTTTATCTTTTTTTATCGTACCAGGGGACTTTTATAAATGCACATTGTATGCTTCAGTGGATCTTTAAATTCAAAATTCAAAAACGTGCGCCTTAAATATACGTCTTCATGATTTGTCCATAATGTGCGTTCTAATTGTGCGTTCTTAATATGCGTTCTTATGCGTTCTTAATGTGCGTTCTTATTGTGGGTTCTTAATGTGCGCGTTCTTAATGTGCGTTCTTATTGTGCGTTCTTAATATGCGTTCTTAATATGCGTTCTTATGCGTTCTAAATATGCGTTCTTATGCTTTTTTAATGTGCATTCTTATTATGCGTTCTTAATGTGTGATGTGTGTCCCAAGTATCCGTCCTAAATGTTCACCATAATTGTGCACATAGCAGCGTGCTCAATTTTTATCCTTAATTAGTACATCCCCCATCAGAGCGTTTAATGTTCGCATGAGTTTGTATTTTTTTAACGAAGAATGTTGAAAGATATTGTCAGTTAATAACAGGGACACTTTTTCTTGTGTATCTACTTAATATCTATACTTGTATCAACTTTGGAACAGTTCTCGAGATATATTAAAAAATAATATAAAAACCCCCAGAGCAGAATAAACAACCAATCTCACACTTATTGTTTATATTACATTATATGAAAATACAACATAAATAAAAAGTTCTCTTTTTTATTTAGAAACAATAGGAACTAAATAATTTATTTTCTGGCGAGATATCTATACAGGATTTTGTCAATTACGTATGAAGTACAGTGAGGACCAGAAAACTATGGAATAGGAAGATGACTATTTAATTGAACATGAACATAAAACGCAGCACTCAATATAGGCTATTTTCATTTAATTGTTAATTTCCTTTATAATAACATGTACATTTGTACTTAATTTACATATATATACTTTGCTTGTCTGGGTGTCTGTTTGTTTGTCTGTCAGTCTGTTTGTATCCAATAAACGTCAAAACTGCTGAACCGATGGGGCCCAAATTTTGTGTGGGACCTTACATGAACCCAGGGAAGGTTTATGAATGCTCAGAATTTCAAAATGGTGTCTCCAAAAAATGTTGAGTTTTGAAAAAGTTTGAAAATCCACGAAAAAAATATGAAATCCGCGATTTTTTGTTATAGTTTTTGTTTTATACTGTGCAATGAGAAAATGCTCGCAGATAGAGCCACAATTAAAAATTGAAATAGAAGATGGTCGCGGAGCGCCCTAATCACCTTTCATTCTATTCCAAAATTTATAGATTTTATTACTTTACCAACTACTGATTTGAACGATTTGAAGGTATATTGGGAAAATCCAGATCAATTTTCGATCAAGTAAGAATGTTTCACATTGATTTAGACTAATATAAAAAGTGTTTTTTATTTCTTTGGCCTTTGATTTGATATCACTAGCTCAATCAACCCGTCAGGACAAATGGAGGAAAATGTACGCTATCACGTGACATGTGTATTTAGCTCAATCAACTGCACTGATCATTGTTATTATTAGGTGCAGTACGTGGAAAAGGGATATGAAAAGAAACCAAATGTCGGGGGGGGGGGGGGGGTTTT